CGGTGGTGCGCTTTTATGCGCTTCTAGTGCTGGCTGAGAAGGTGTTTAAAGTCCCTTTTCTCGTTCTGTTTACTGCGAATGTATTTTTAAATTTTCCTTTATTACCTCTGCGAATTACGACATTCAAACGGCATCAGCAACATCTTTGCTGGTGGTTAATAAAAAAATGAATTTGTGTTTTATTGTTCGACATTGCGGGTTTTTTTTATTAAACTCCAGACGCGCCTGTTGTTGTTTCGAATAAACAGCCCGTTATAATCAAGGCTGCATTGGTGTAGAACATAACGTAATTCACGTATAATATAATTAAGTTGTTCACAGCTTCATATACGATATACTCATTCACAAATGATATACGAAGGTTACAAACATAGGTATACGTAATTCTTATTACTATAATCTTTTCGTATATGGCTAAAATCTCTAAAAATGATTTAAAAATGCTTCGTAGAAATAATTAATAAATTCGCAGTAAAGTTCAACCATGTTGATAACAAGACTGATTTGAATGTTGACTTTGATTATATGCTAATATAAAAGTAAGTAACAATAAATTATGTCTTAATACCGACCGTATACATCAACGTATTATAATGCTATAACAGACATTTAGTTTTATAACAATAAAAACTGCACCGGCAACTCTATGTGAAGTCATAATTTTAATACATTATAAAAAAGTTCAACGGCCTCTAAAGTACTTAGTTGGAAGCTCTTTACACTTCAATCCGGGGGCGCGACTGGCGTCGACTCCTTGACTCGCCTTCAACAAGATTAATATTCCTGGCGAGTGACGAACCCTGATATAACAATGGCCATGTCCTCACGGCGCATGCATATTCGAATAATGCCCTTATAATGTTCCGATAAAATTGGCTCTGACATCGCGTGTTGGGGTCGTGGCTTTAGTGTCGTCCTTGGCTTCCACGGGTACGAAAGACCACGACGGTTTAAAGCAATTATTTCTTTTAAACTATTATGTCATTTGTGTCGGCGATTTGTGCGTTGATCGTTATGTTTTTTATTCTTTATTGTTTTGTGCCGGTGTGTAATTTCGTATATTTTCAACCGGATGTAGGACCTTTTTGTTAAATGTTTTGTTTTTTTTTATTTTGTCTCGTTTTCCCGTCAATTTGTTGGAATGTAAGTTTAAGTGTGAGGACAAGTTGAAAGCTTTTCAGGAAGCATGTTGAAGTTCTGTTCACCGGCGGCGAGAAGACGCGAGCCAAATGCGGTTTGTAGTTTTGCACTGTTTTGTAATATAATACATACATAACCCCCTTATTCAACTATAAAAGTATCTTTTATTAAAATTAGTGCACGATAAAACTATATTAATGAAATAAGGAATAGTACTTTAAATTAAATATAACAATTAAAGTTTTACAATACGTTAACGGGTAAGGTTTTTCACGGTGGTAGGGCCACGCAGCAGCCTCGGCTGTTGCACGAATGGGCAGGCCCGTTCTTATAAGTACCACGACCTCACAGAAGACCAGCGTAAAGTGGAAGTACTTGACAAATACTTTCGCGTTTCGTCTGGTGAGTGAGGTAACCGGAGCCCAATTTTCAAAAGGATGTCAACGCATCTGTAACCCTCGGGTGTAGCAGATGTCCATCGGCGGCGGTATTCACTTATCATCAGGTGAACCATCTGCTCGTTTGGCAACTTTTCACATAAAAAAAGGTAACTTAAAATTATTGAATTTGCATTGTGTCCATGTCGAATATTTTGTTAAGTTACTAAAAAAATATTTTAAACTTCTAATTGAATCATGGTCAGTGGGACTCTATTGTTGATTGAAGGTGTTTGAAAATACGTTAATCGTTCTAAGAATCAAATGGTGGATGTATTTCTTACATGATCGATCATTATTTCGATGAATGCTCCATTCAGTCACTGTGATCTAAAGTATATTTTATTTCTTTGACTAGCACTTAAAATCCTTATTGTTTTTAGTTATATATTTATTCGGATGCATCTTTCAGTGTTTGGATAAAAAGGAATCGACTCTATCAATGAACATTCGCAACACTAGTGAAGTCGAAAAAGCCATGCAAGCCTTTCACATTGACATTTGAAAATAAAAAAGAGACATTACGCCTCCTGTTTACATCATTAACTGTAAATTTTTGTACACAAATTGTAAAATTATCTGTAGGTCCTACAAATAGTTGTCCCTTCCGGGAATGGAACCAACGACCAAAGGTTATGTAGATAAGTAACGATTAAGGTGGGAATTATAGTGTGTAATTAGTAATGACTTAAGGCACAGAATTTGTATTGTTTAAACAAATGTAACTTTATAAAAATAATGAACAGTATTGCCTTTAATATAAATGAACATGTAACTTTATTAAATAATTTGTAATAATTATATTATACTTTATAAAAACTGGTGCCCACGTTTTGCTTGACGTTGGTTCTCCCCTTTAATCGTGTAGTCATTTTTCATCGTTTGTATTTCAGTGAGGAAAAATTACAAAAATGTGTTGAGATTACAATCTGCTGAAACGACTTTCCAGAATAATTAATTACTCAGCCATTTCTCATTTTATTTACAATCGTTTTCGAATATTGAGCTATAATACTTACGAAATATCTACATAATTATAATGTGTATTGCGTCATACTATATTCTTACTTGTTTTTAACATTAAATGAAGCAATAATGATAACATTTTAGATATCTACGAACATACATATGTATATATACAAACGAAAAAACTTTTTGTTTGTCTATGGACATGAACTTTATTATTATTTATTTAATATGATGAATTTTAAGTTTACGTTTTTATTTTTATTGTATGTTTATTGCCTTGTACTCATTACTACGTTTTAACAGTGATGTATTTTTTTTACTATCGCGAGGGAAATATCCGAAATGTCCTGATGAGGGCTACACAGGTTTAGGTTCTAACACACCTTGGGACCTTAGAAACTAGGGGGCCCCTTCATAATCTACTGCGGAACGCACTGGCGCCCCTCTATACTGGGCCGGACCTCACTCCGGGAAGTATAAAACTTCCCAACTCTCCTCGATGTTTTGCGGCAACACGAGACTACTTCGTGTTGCTGCCTTTCTTGGTCCATTAGACGGACGATCAGACCCTATCTCGATCGTCCAGACGCTAGTGCTCTTATTCCGTCGCCTTAATATGCGAATAAAGGATACCTTAGCCCTATTCGATGTACCCAGAACAGGGTGAAATAGTGATATAGGATATATTATGTGACAACAATTAAACAGACTAGTGATAACACACACAAAATAATAACGGTAAAATTCAGTCTATTCGCTATCTTTATTTAAACAATGGATAACTTTACCATAAGTTCTTTATAAGAAATTTTAAATTATTTTTTTAATGAAAATTTACTTTATTCTGTTTATTTATTTTTCACCAATAGCGGCAAACATAAGCTTCAAAATGGTGTTTCTATCATTTTTGAGGAACAATTAATATGGAAGTAATGGCCCACCGACAAAAACACCTTTGAGAAATCATTTTAACTTTACGATTTAAGTTTTTACGCAATCGGGTTTATGTCTATAACAATGATTAAAATTTTTAATTTTTAACATTTAGTTTGACTTTTACTACAATATATTAAAATATTGGAGCAGTCGGTAACAGGTTGTCTCGAATTTAAGAAATATTTTTACACCGTTAGCGTTCATTAGTTATGTGAAGCAATTTACTGATTGTCTATTCTTCAAGTACGCTATTTTGTTTTGCACAAATGTGCGTACGTCGTTTGAGCCATTAGAAATCGACCATGAGAGTGTTTGGTTTGTTTTCGCGCAAAATTAGAACTTTTTTGTACAAAAGAAAAATACATTTAAAAATATTAGTATCTAGCCAAGTAATTCAACAAAACTTACAAATATTTTACTTATAATTATTATACTTTTTCTAATGGATTTTTGATCCGACCAGTTATTAATTCTTTGTCAAAGCAACATTTGCATTACATTTGATAAAGGCTCATAGCGGTAAAACTTCTTCACATAATCATAGTCACATTTTCTAATATTTACTGCGGTTTGTCATGTAATCTATGTAATTTGGTAAACGTAATAAGTAAAAGTTGGCCTGTGTTATGTCATGTAAAGTTTATGTAATTAATTCTTAATTTATTACATAGTATTAAATAATGTTGTGAACTATCAGTTCTCGCCTATCTACATGGTTCATAAAAACGTAAGCATAATTATGTTTTTGTGAATAATGTTAAATATATAAACAGTACTATCCTTCGTGTTCGAATTAAAATGTTTCTTTTTTAAATTTGATCACACGACCTACTTGTATCTTAGTTTTACTTCCGAGCTATCGGTACTACTTGTCATTAATCCAATTTCGATAATACTCGAAATCAAAATAAAGATGTGACAAACAAAACAAGTAGCCAAGTCTGGATGCCAAATCAAATCGCTATTGCTATTTTCATTGGCGCCAAATCTTTACAAATTTTATTTCGAAAAAGAGAAGAAAAAATCCATTGAAGGTTTATATTTATAACAGTTACTAAATTATGAGTTAGAATTTAACTAAACCACGTCGTTAACTGTAAAAGATGAGAACTGATTTCCACTTGTTACTTATGCATTCACGTAAAACTATCTTGTTTGATATTCGCTTAAGACTATTTTGTTTGATATTGACCGCTTGGCAGCTGCATAAATCATATTATTTTGTATACGGAATTATTTTTATGAATACATAATTTATATTGTACATCTACGTCCTACATAATTCTATACATTCGACCATCACCCTGAATGAGAGCCACGTACGAAATTACGGAAATTACGGTTCAAAAGCTAAGGTTCGATAGGGTTGACAACAGGCAGAGGCCGGTTTTTCTAACTGACACCGTCTATAGTAAGAATCATGTTGTACCGACTCCACCTAGAAGGAATAAGGTCAAGAGACAGAAGATGGTGTAGCCCTCCACTTCCCCATATTAATAATCTGTTTTCGTTTTTCAGGTAAACCCGGGCCGAAAGGCATCGCTGAGCGGAATCCGCGAAGGCGATGTCATATCTTCAATTAACGGCCAGCCCACTAAAACCATGACAAATGCCGAGGCTCACGCGATGCTTCGTTCCGCAGGCTCCGCGCTGCGTTTGGGTCTGAACGAGTAAGTATGATTCAACAACAGATGTAGGGTTCCGTACCCAAAGGGTAAAACTTTAATTGCATGAACCATGCTTCTGTGTCAGTTTCGTTATTTTTCAAAAAAAATGGGGAAAGTAAAAGAAAATAAAATATAGTACGAAGAAAAAATCGTGTAAGATAAATTCAAAGTAGGTACGTACATTTGGTTGCATTTATCGCAAAAGGGTTGTATTTCATCATGTGAAATGTTAATTATTTAAATTACACTTATCCATTGGCTCTTTCTCTAAATACTTAATTTTATAAATGATTTTGGGCACGGAACCCTAATAAACGCGTACCTCTGGAATCCTTTAACTGGCACGAATGGGCAGGCCCTTCCGGGTAAGTACCACGACCTCACAGAAGATCAGCGTAAAGTGGAAGTATGACAAATACTTTCGCGTTTCGTCTGGTGAGTGAGGTAGCCGGAGCCCGATTTTCAAAAGGTTTTTGTTTTTCAACGCATCTGTAACCCTCGGGTGCAGCAGATGTCCATGCGGCGGCGGTATTCACCACGGTATTCATCAGGTGAACCGTCTGTTCGTTTGGCAACTTTTCACATAAAAAAAAATCCTGCTTGTTTTCTCGATTTTAAACGAGCTTCTCCGTTTTGTATTAATGATAAATTTATAATGTCTTTCATTACGTAGTGAAAGAGATCTCCGATCTACATCTAAGGAATCGTCCAAAATTGAGTCTTTAGATAGTTTATACTAGGTACATGTTTCTTGTTTGTAACTCTTTCACAGTACACTTTACTCTATTTGAATTCCATGTTTAATCGACATTAAAGACGTACATAATTCTAACTCCTATTATCACGTGCTCAGTACACTATATTAAACATGTATACTATATTAAACAAATTTAACGCTAGTGGATATTACGACAAAATTCACCATATGAAAAAAAGTTAGTTAAAAGCCAATTCATTGCCTAGGGCAAAGGCTCGTGGACTGATTCCCTCTTTACAGAGGGAATCAGTCCACGACGCGGCCCCACTGCAGATTAGCGGGCTTCACATGTCTTCGAAATATTTGTTTTGTTATTATTTCGAAAATATGCAGGTTTGCTGAAGATATTTTTCACCGCTGAGCACATGATAAGTCTAAGTCTCTTAAAACTAACAATTTCATTGATGCCGGCAGAGGGAGTCAAACTCGGGTAGCTCGCGTATATTGAATTGAAAGCGAGCGCTCGGATATGAGCTATCACGACTGTTTGGGGATTATAAGCTATTAATATACATGTGTGACATAACTCTTAATTAATTATTTCTGTATTTAAAACGCACAATAACTACATTGAGAATTATTAACACGATATAATTTAATTTTACATTTCAACTCGAAGAACATTCGAAATTCATTCACTCATTCTTTATTGAGTATTCAATCCATGCCAAGAAAATCGCAATTTAATATGACCATTAATAATTATCTTGATTTTTCTTTAAAATATATCAAATAAGTACCATGATCTTGCATATAACCGCTCATTCTTTGCCGTCAATTTAACTGATGGCAAGTAATTCATAAAGTTTAGTAATAACGAGCGCCGCGTTGACCAAAACTCTTTCTTGCTTCATTAATTTGGGCCTTTGTTCGTGCCAACCGGCAGTAAATCATTTAATAAACGTACCGTAATTTGTACTCCTACTACTCCGTAAAGAATACAAGACGTTATTCAGAATAACATTAATTGGATAAGGTTGAGATTAAGCTCTGGAGCATTGTGCGTAAAGAAAAGACGATCCGATTGGCGTGGGGAGTAGTGACCCGGCCTCCTGCGCCAGACGGTGTGGGTTCGATCCCCAATACTGGAAAAATGTTGTGTTATGAACATCGTGTTTTTCCAGTGTCTGGGTGTTTATATATGTATAATATGTATTTATTTACAACAAAAAAGAAAAGTATGTTTAAGTAAGTGTATCAGTTTTCTAGTACCCATAGTACAAGCGTTGTGAGAACGTTGTGTATAAAATATGTCGGAAAAATATTTAAAAAAAAGGGGGACAATCTCATATCGGGGTTAAGTTTACAAGTGTCCAGCAGTAAGCGGCCAAAAACATTTCAAAAACGGACCAGAATGGCGCTAGCGTAGCTAAGGTGTGTGATTGTTTACATTGCTAGGTTGAACTGCTGTGAGTTGTTACCATAGTAGCTAATAACTCACCATCTAATTCGCGCTATGAATTTGACAACGATGGGATCTCGATGGACACTACATACACAGAGATTGTTCTCCTTACATCTATCCTCTAGGTTGTCTTGTGATTTCTGGTGAACATTATATTTAAATAAATAAAAAAATACTGGTCACCCAAAGAATACCACAAAAATCCAACGAGCATTATTATTTAAGTATAGTAAATCGGGGAATTTTCCAGTATTGTGACAAATTGCCGAGCAACACCTTAGTAAAAAAGCCAACATACTTATTTTTAGGTACGGAGCTTCCGCAGTGTAGTTTTAAGAGTTTCAAAAATTAATACAAGACATTGATATTTTATAAGAACATTGAAATATATTTAATCGTTTATGTGCAATATCTATATAGGAACTCACGACATCAGATAGCAAATTAGAGTTCTAAGCCAGCTTTATAGAAAGCTTTTTTATTTTAAATTGCCGACTTAATGATACCACCGTGATATTATCTCCACTTTATAGACATATGCATCATAGCGTTGTGTATAAGAGCGGTGGATATACGGCAGTCTGCCTTTAATCGGATTAAACATCTGCACTTCGCACGGGAATCGAACGCAGGCCGGTGGCGTAGATTAGAATTGATGTAGATTGAAGCTCAGCCTTTGTGCTACGTTGTAAATGGTACGGGAATGAGTGATCGTGACGGCAACAGCAATGAATGTTAGCGAATGTATACATTTTCAAATACATAACATAGATTCGTAGAGCTGCTATTTTTTATGTTAATAATATTTATCAGATTGCATTACACTTATTGGAACCATTTTGTTTTTTGTGGAGATGAAAAATACTGAACTTTTCTTTATCTCTAACATTGTATATCTTGTATTCTTGTATTAACTGATGTTTTTGCTTTCAGTCCCGAGACTATTAAAGCTTCATCTGACGCAGAACCGGTGGGCTAGCCAGAACCCACGGGTTTGGGCCCTCCGCTGTGGGTAGGGCCGCGCATGTGCTCATGCGTGCGTTTAACTACGACATGTCATCTAAGGGCCATCGAAGTTGCGGTGCGGACCGAGACCCCGATGGCCGTCGACTGTGTTTTTAGCTAATCGGTGGCTGGGGGCGGTGAGAACCGCCCTGGAACGCGGTTGTACCTTGTGTACGCGTTGTGTTGGTCTGGCCGTGCTCGGAGGCGAGGGCGAACTGGTGTGATTGTTGTTACACTAGCTGTGGGTGTAGTGTTATCCGGCGGGACCCCCGGCGGTGGGTCCGGCGTATCTAAGTCCCCTTCCTCGACCGGGTCGATGAGGACGTTTCGCGGGCGACGCTTGTTGACGTAACATTGTATACTAATATCTGTACTTATGTACGTATGTTAAGTAAACATTCTTCCCAATTCAAAAGTAAAGTTAAGCTACAGCCCACAATGTCCTACTGCTGAGGAAAGGCCTACTCTGTTCAGAAAATATTATGGCATACTCAACCTCGCGATCACACTGTGGATTGACAGACTGGACATTACTTCGAAATATTCTTTTTGTTTTTTATTTCGAGAATATGCAGGTTTTTTTACAATAATTTCTATAGCGCCGCAAGCAGGATTTGAGTTTATTAGCGACCAAAAAATTAAAAGTCAATGAAATTATTTTAAACTCGCTCCAACTCTTTAATCTATTTATCTTCATTCCGATATAAAACACTGCCCACCAACATTATTAATTTTTTTCGATAGTTTGTAGTCGAGTAGATAAAGAGAATTCGCAGTAAACTAATGCGTTACACTACTTATTAATTGCCCAAACCCGTGGGTTCTGGCTAGCCCACCGGTTCTGCGTCAGATGAAGCTTTAATAGTCTCGGGACTGAAAGCAAAAACATCAGTTAATACAAGATACAAGATACTTATTAATCGAAGAACTGTACGACATAAAGTAAGCCACTTGGGGAGACAGTAACATCCGAATTTTGGCCGAGTCAATGAACTGTTATGTGATGTTAAAATGCTCCTTAAGGTCAGCCGTGGTTGATCTTGTCCAAAAAAAAAAACAACTGCTATGTATAAATTAAGGAATTAATTCATTGAAATTATGTCATATTTAACTTGAATCGTTCAACAGCGAAAGCAAAGAAAAAAGTAATTTATTCCCGTCAGTTTAAACGACATCAAGATGGTTGTCATAAAGATAAGAATTTCACAAAACAATTATGACAACCGTTTATAAATTCTAGCCTCTTTTAACGACCAACGGATGGCGGCTGGAGCAATTTGTTTCTCGCCCACGTCATAAAGTTTTATAATCACCCCAGCTTACGGACGCCCGACGTTTTACGCAGTATTAAAACTTAGCGGAGTTTGAAAAAAAAAAAAACAATGCCCCGGTATTATTGCAAAGTTGTTAGCTTCAATGCCACTTTGTCACCGTGTTCTAATTTAAGTTTTCTTGTCAACAGGGACAGAGAGATGTCACCGCGCAGACGATCCATTGGCAAATCTACCGAGTTGAAAAGTAAGTTATTACTTCATATGGGGAGCAGTCTACTCGTAAGCCACCTTCTCGTATAAATTCCTCCTTTATTAAAAACAAACATTAACATCATTAAATGAAACAATATTGTTTGAAAGTTAATAGCATTTAAAACACTTCCTCCATTCTTTTTCACGTTCACCATATTGAAATAATGAACACATTTAAATATACATACGATAAAAAACATTACAATCCCCGGGCAGTCGGCTAAAAAAGAGATTAAAAAATGCAACTTTTGTAAACGGCGCTTTTCCATTAGCAAAAGTATTGTTTTATATTAAAAATAGAAACGGAAACCCCGTTATGGTTTGTTTGTTAAAAGGTTGTTGCCAGCATCTGCAACCCTACGGGCATTGCAAATGTCAAAGGTTATCTGAACTGTCAACTGTCTTATTATTGAAGCACACATAATGCTTACGCGATTTCGTTCTGATATTTATTTTAATGTTTACCTTAATATATATTTTGCACCCTCCTGCAATACGACAGATTGTTTTGCAAGATTCGCTCGATTTTTAGTAAAATCATTTCAGACATTAATTAACAAATATATATCGACTAGTTTACGTCTTTGTAACGAAATTCAGTCAGAATAATAAGGTGTTTTACCATTCATTTTTCTTGATCTCGGTCGATTTATAAATTGGCTTTTGTCCACGTATTCATTGTAGTAGGGGGCTAAAACGTTTATTACAGCCTCAATCGTCGTCGGGATTAACTAGAATCATCCCCCCGCCTAATGGCAAAGCTATGCTCGCTTATCTTTACACAGTTGCCTTAATGCTATTGTTTGTAAATTTATCGTGTGAAAGACTACAAGAGGGTTTAACAGTTATACGCATATTATTATGCATTAAATGGTTTCTTATCGATAAATTTATGATTACTTAAAAATATACACATACAAAAGAAACCCTGCTAAACGTCTATTGATTGATTTAGCAGGGTATCTTCTTCATGTTACAGAATTAGGAACATTACATATCATTCCAAAAATTTCACCAAAATATAGGACGATAATGTTTACGACACGGCGGTCAAATGTGACTGTGTAACATTATTTTAGTCCCTTTAAAATAAATATAGCAATATTTATCGTCAAGTACTGTAATTAATGTGTTATTCTCCCTTCAAAATAGTTTAGTTTCACATTTTTTATGATTTTGATGATGAATGATATCTAATACACTTAATTGTTTTCAGGGCCCTCCCATCTAGTGACAGACGGGAGCAACGATTTAGCGATACCACAAGCCCCGGTCTACGCGACGATTCGACCCGCGTCGTCTAAAAATCGACCGCCTTCATTACCAGCGCAGCACTCTCTCAATTCACTGCCGTCGACGTTAAACTCAGCGCCTTTTAAATCGCCTTCTACAGGGGCGGAACCGTTTCAATTTCATCCGACAAATCCATTTTACACCACATTACCGTCAAATTACTCCAGTGCTTCCAAATTACCTGTACCAAACGGAAGGGCGTCGCTCTCAAGCTTATATAGGAACAAATCAATGAACAGGTCAAAAGACAATTCAATATCAGGAAACGATACGGAACTAAAATCCCCTTCTTACTTCACATCTTTAAATGATTCAGGACCCCATAGTACCATTTTTTCAAACTGTTTAGAGACAGGAAATGCGAACGGATGTGATCCCGAGACATTAAAGTTACCTAGAAACAATAAAGACACCACTTTTGTAGGTGATAATAAGTTAAAGATTTACGAAACGTCAAAAGAGACAAAGTCAATCGAAAAAAATCCTTTCAAAATAAAGAGGAATAGTGATCCATTCGATAATATTCCGAGAAAAAATGGTAACTTTAATGAAACTCTTTACAGTGATAACACTACGATGCCGATTTCTATAAGCGACAGCGAAATACATAAAAATGAAGAAACATGTAGTTCAACTGTTACTGAAAAGAAAATAAATAAAACTGAAGAAATTAAAACTATTAAGACGATTATAATGAATGGGTCTGATAGTTCACATCAGTACATGGAAACTAAATTAATTAATGAACCATCAGACGATGGACCATCAAATCATAAAGATTTTCGTGGACCGTTAACGGCTAAAGAGCATTACATCAAAGTTCAATACTCACCTACAAACAAAAGTGAGAGCGAGATGAATATAAATTCGAATAATGATGTTGCAAACGACATTTCTAGCTACGAATCCAAAGTGTCAAGTAATGGATACCAATCATTGCAAGAAAAGCGAAACGGCTTTTTTCCTTCAGGTAAGTGATTCCCAATGCATTTTTAAATTTGCAGCAAATCATCCATACGCGGTCCGATTACATCGAAACTTTTGATATTAAAAGAAACACTGCGATTATTGTTTGAAAAATATGAATTTAAATAAAATAAAAACATTTATATGGATTAGCGTTAAATTACTTTAATTATAATGAGTTTCAAACATGTGTTTACTTTATTAAAAGGTGTTTACTTTATTCACACAATTAATTATAATAATAAATGTGAAAGTTTAGACGAACAAAAAAAGTAAAATTATTAACCGTTAATGCAAGGGGATGTCCAAATTGTTAAATTAACTTTGAAAGAAACGTAAACTCCAGTTAAAGTTTATATAAACTTTTACTGTAACTTCCGAAAAGCGTTTTCTGCTATTATACCCAAATGAAAGTTTCATTTTAATTTCACTCTCGTGAATTTGTCGTTGTTTTTTTGTTAATCATTTATGTGAAATTGTAATTTTTGACCGGTTACGTCTGGGCACTTGCATTTGAGTACAAATGTGACCTTAAGGTCTAAACACCGTTGCTCTAACAAATTACTTATTATATGTATTGGATTTAAATTTAAAAAATCAAGCAGCGAAATTAGGATTAAATATAAATTTTCACAAATGTAAATGGTAAAAACTAGTTTTTTTAGTCAAAACCGAACTACAATTAATAGTTTACAAGTAAGGTGTCAAAATTACTCTATTGCAAAATTTTGTAAATAGAATAAACAATTCAAGACAAATTTCTTTCAAAGGCAACGATTTAGTGTTTGTATATTCCGAAGGCTCCTGAAATTAAGTAATCATAATTTCAGGAGCCTTCGGAGCCGCCTTTAGCTAAGCAGTTCGTCAAGAATAATCTGAAAGTAAATTATTTGTTCTAAAGCACATTGTAATTTGTTGCTATTTAATGCATTATCTAAATTTAAACAAAAAATACTCTGTAGTTATTACCTAGGCTATACTTTATTCAATTTATAACATAAGCAATATTCTAGTGTAAAAAATTGCTATTTATTGTTGAAAGGCGAATTTAATATTAAAACATTTTAATTAATACGTAATTTATTCCTTACCTAAATAATGTTTTAAGTTGTTTTAACATTACTTAAATAACTTAATTATTTTAACAGTATAATTTCAGTCGAATAGAATAAAGTTCTAAAGACGAGAAAATTGACAAAACATATCATAATTATTATGTTTGAAGCTAGTAGTCAATTATTTACTGCAACTTATTTTTTGTACACTATCCGACTATTTTTCTTATTTTTTATTATCTAACATTGTTGGAGTTAATGAGATCGTTTTTATTTTGTTTTATGTGGAATGAAACGAGTGATATTGTGCCACTTCACTTCGAGTAGGTTTTGTTGGAGACGGCTAAGAACAATCGGCGCGGATTAATGACTGGCTGTATAGGAAGTTTCTTTTTCCAGTAATTAATAAAATAAATACGTTAACTGGAATTTCTATATTTATAATAATGAATTCTTTATAAAAACATGGCCCTTACGGTAGAATAAAATTATCCTGTATTTGTAACGTTTAATAAGGTAGATAAATATCACGTGGGAAAAACGCAGATCCGAAACGATTATCTGTGAGTCACACAAACGTTTTTCACGTGCAGGAATCGAACCGATGACCTCCGGCGCCAAAGCCAAACCAAACCACGGAGTCATCAGTGTCTCTAATTCTATTTAATTGAAGTATCCGTTACACCGTAATTGTAAACTATTTTAATAGGTTTTTGTTAAAATAAACTCAATTACTGATTTTATATAATATTCAGAAGTTTATTTTCGGTTGTTCTAATACAAGGCAAAAGTTACTTTTTTCAAACTGAACTTGAAAAGTTAGATAATGTAGGATATACCTACATTTTATTTATTTTACCTGAAAATATTCTTAAAGAGTTGAACTAATTAAGTTGAATTAATTTCGTTATTATCCTTGATCGCGATTAATGGTGTATTAAATTAAGTTCTTTGTTATGAAAGAATAGGTAATATGTCTGCCATCGGGTTTCGGCATTAACATTCAAGACATGTCAAGGTCCTATGGGTTGGTCAAGGTGCGGCGTTACGCTTGGAGGGCCTTCTGGATCCGAACGTCCCAAGTCTTGGGCAGTTCCACCGTCGGCTTGATGCAACGTTCTAGTAGACTTCGTTCTGATAGGTCGTCTTTACAAAGTACAAAAGAATTGACTAATTAGACTCACATATTAAGTGACGTTCGCAATAAAGACATTTCAAATAATTAAGAAAAACTGCGGTTGTGTTTCTTTAGACATCTAGATTCTTGGAAATTTGTTTCTGAAGTAATGTTGATTTTCGTTCTATTGACGATATATGAAATATAATAGATTCGTGTCATGAATTCGCCGTGCTTTGCCAGCACCCCGTATGTATTTCATCCCGCGTCGGAGTCCTCGTCGACGGAAAGCGATGACAGTTCAAATTCCGGCGTTGAAAAAGTCCTCGGTGGTCCACGAACGAAGTACAACGACCCGAAACGAAGAACAATTAACAAAGTCAGCAAAAAGATACAAAAAGCTATTGAGAAGCTAACGTGTAATTTAAAGAAGAGTAAGAAATTAAAAAAGAATGTCGCTCCGTCGCCGTACGAGAATATTGCAGGTATATTTGCGTAGTTATGTTATGCACAAGGTCTGAGCACGATAATAAAACATTGGAACATAGATTATAACTTATTTTTATTTATAAAGGATACTCATTTTTATAGTGCTATTCTCTGCACACGAGATGAAATCTATTCGTTTATCTTAAAGAATAACAAACTAATAAATACGTCAATCGCTAAATTTTATTTATTAAGATTTTAAGATGTAATATTTAAATGCTCCATAGCATACACCCGTAATACACGTTTCGGTTATTTATTATAAAACAATAACAGGAAAAAAATATTCACACCGACAAATATACCTACACTAATTCAATATTTTGGTTTTAAGTAACTCGGTTTCTGTGATACATTTTAAAGCAATTTCCTGATGAGCTGGTCGTTTTCAACTGATGACAACTTAAACAAAACCAGAACTGGATGTTTTATATTATTTCGATTTATTTCTTTCTGTTTTTTGCGGTTCCATAAGAAACAGTTTTCATAAACCTTTCTTTCAATTCGTAGTGAATAAATGGCGACGTCATATAATATAACACAGTGACCACAGGGACCGTTCTTTTTTTAGTAAAATACATTTTTTTTGGTAAGGTCCTCAATAGAACTCTACAAGGTTACCTGTGTCTTATCCTTTAAACGAGCAATTCTTGTATATATATATATATAATCGGAATCTCGGAAACGGCTCCAGCGATTTTCGTGAAATTTAGTATGTGCGTAGATTCGGGGGCGAAAAATCGATCTAGCTAAGTTTCATTTTTAGAAAATGTCCTTTTATCCCTGTTTTCAGGGAATGAAAAATGTAATTCGAATATGACGGTAAATTTCGCCGCAAGAGAAAATGTCATAATAGCTCGGTCGGTAATCGGACGGCCCCAAAACAGACGGCCGTGGTTCGCGTCACGATCATTTACACATTAATTTATTACTTTTTTTTCGATTCCAGATCATTGCTTTCTTTGTTTTTAATTTTTCGTCGATTTGTTAGTTTGTTATTTTTTCCCCTTTTTTTTAAAGTTCATTCTTTTGTGAAAAACATCAGTTCATATTTTCGTCGGTAAGATCGAAAAATATTATGCATATTTCATTACTCAGTAATTTGTATCTCAATGTAATTTCCAAAATACACGATTTACCAAAAAAAAACAAACTGAGCAAAGCTCGGTCCTCCGGGTACTTCGAATAATGTCACATACCTCCATCTCACAAAGTTTTAAGGTATCAGTATGCTTCCATCCAATAGCAACAACGCAAATAACTGAAAAAATTACGAGATGACGCTGTATTGGTTTGTAAGAGTTTATTATTGTGTAAAACCCTCTAATTCAGGAATAAAGCCTGTAAAGATAATTTTAAAAATGAAAATTGATCAAAATATTTTTTTTTATCCAAATCTCCAGCGTCGTTTTCGAGATACACGATATTTATGTATGTATATACAATAATTGCTCCTTAGGAGGTAAAGTTTAAAGGTTTTTAATATAAAAGTTTTATCGTACTCTAATAGAGTTATAGGATTTCGTAACTAATTGATTTTTATGAATAAATGCTATTTGCAATAAATACGTGCATTTTATTAGATTGAAATATATACATTTTTACGTCTTTTATGGTTAGTTATTTTAAAAAAGGCCGAAACGAAGATTGAAATACACCTCCATTATATACAAAACCAAAATTTTTCATAATTTTCGTACAAATGGAAAGAAAATAACAATTTAACGGTAAGAATAAATAAAATTAAAATACATGAAGAAATCTGTAGTACCTACGCTGAATTATCCATAAGAGGTAAATCAAAGTGGCAAAGGTAAATACAAGTAGCTGTAATTCTGAGTAATTCTGAGAAAATTGAAGTTTTGACAGATTTCAAAGTAAGTGTAAACTTCAGGAAAAATAATTTTCTTTACATTTTTACCAAAACATTAAAGTAATTTTGTTGTGTGCTACCTATCTTTTGAGTAAACTATATTGAAGATTCAGAACATATCGATATTACCAATTTTAGTACATAATTTTTAATATTTAAGTATTTATCTAAATTTTTCCATATCCCTGGGGCATAATTAAAGAAATCAAATGTTTATTGTAATGGTTAAATTTTATAATTACCTATACCTATATGAATTTAAATATGATTTCTATTTTATAAGGTTAAAAGTAAATAGAGGGGAAATGTAATTTTTTTATCCCCATTTTCTAAAAGTGATACCAGCTTTTATCGTTATGCAAAAACGTTCATAGGTTGTAAACTCGGAGTTGCTTGCATAAACGATACAATAATACACATTGATTTATTCATAATATTATTGATCTTTAATAAATTCAATGTAAAAAATATAGGAAATTCAAAAGCCGTTATAGCTCAGCGTCTGGGCGCTCGCCTTTAATCTTATCCTTAAAACGAGCAATTCTTGTATATGTATCTTGTATATTCTTGTATATATATATATAGTTATCCGTTCTAGGAGTTGTTTGATCCAGCGTTACGTATGATCAGTTTCTTGTTGATCCGCTCAAATTTGTTGATCCAATACCATATGTATGTGATTTAGTGGCTCCATTCGGATCAACAACTTCTCGTCAATATCTTTTTGAAAGTAGCTACAATTTATACAAATCCACTCCGTACTTATTTGATCCAATTCAAACGGACGAATCACAGATCACAGCAGCATTCATTGGTTGAGATCATCACTTTACGTCAGTGCCTACTTATTAAGAAAAATTACTGTATCTCGTGAATGTGATATTTGTTGAAATACATGCTTTAAAGGGCCAGCAATATCTAGCGCTCGCGCGCTTTTCAGATTCACGTGCAACACAACCATTATATTTTAATGTAAATTCGTTGCGCGCGTGATAGATTATTTAAGAATTTACATATAATAATTAATCAATATCTCGGTAATCGGTATCAAAACTCAACTGTTAATTATTTAATTCACGTATAAAATGAATGTACTTCTACTTCAATATTTAAAAAATAATGTTGAACAATAAATAAGACTTGGAGTGTTCTAAGTCGTATTTTCAATAGTTTATAAGTAATTTTAATAGCAATGGAGAATACCTGATAGGTAACAACAAGTCCAAGTGTACAATAATTTTAAAAATTATATAGAAAAAAAAAAAGTAAAATAATAAACAAAATATTTCGTAATTCGTTTGTTTATAAACAAGCGTCTGTTCACAAAACCAAAAAGTAACAGCCTATACATGTCCCACTGCTGGGCAAAGGCCTCCTCTATACAGAGGGTATCAGGGCATAGTCCACCACGCGACCCCACTGCGGATTGGCGGACTTCACATATCTTCGAAATATTTTTTCTTGTTATTATTTCGAAAATATGCAGGTTTCTTCACGCTGTTTTCCTTCACCGCGGAGCACGTGATAAGTCAGCACTTAAAGTTAAAAACTTCATTGGTGCCGGCACCGGGGATCGAACTCAGGTTGCTCGAGTATATTGAATTAAAATATGAATAATGAAACCAAATAAAAAATGAATTAAATTATAATTTTTTTAAGATGTAACAACGTGATAAATTATGATTTTTTGAAATGGTTCCATAATGTTAACACTAAGCAACAAAAAAATGTAATTTAGAAAAAGCGTTTTTAGCAGTGAAAATTTTTTTCTTAAATGTCATATTTTCATTAAGCATCATATTCCTAAAAGAAAAAAATTTAAAATCTTATAAACAATGTATTTATTAATAATAATTATAATTCAAGTAATTTTTTTAAAGGAACAGAATAATCAAAAAATTTAAAAAAATCTTGATTGATTTATTAACGTTTTTCATATTTCAATGCCTTAGATTGGTAATAAAACAATGAAAAATTAAAATTTTTTTTGCAATCTTTTCTAAACTCTTTCAAGAAGTGACAAAAATATTCTGGGTTAGACTACATAGAAATAGTCTTAATTTTTCGTCCTATTATTATTTATTCATGTGTCTAGAAAGAACTATATTTTTTATTCCTTAATATTCAATTTTACTTGGTTAAAATAATCTTTTAGAGTCCCTTTTGATGTAAAGATTTGTCCGATAAATCACACATTATCTCTTAACTGATCTAACTTTAACCCACTGAATAGCACTACTTAATAACACTATTGATTACATAATAAATAATAATAATTTATTCTCTTGTAACCAAACTCATATTTGATAATAAGTTGAGCAATGACTTGTAAACAAATTTAACAGTTAAAATTAAACTAAAATATTGTCATCCTCGTCTCTTTAAAGAAATTTTCACACTACATCATTTGTCGCATTACATTGCGACCGTTGTTGATCCGTTTCCTACTGCAATAGTAGCAATTTATTGTACAACTTGCTTGCGCCCGTGGCTTCGCCCGCACATTATATCGTGCTTAAAAATACATATGGAACCCTTCGTGCGCAACTCCAACTCGCACTTGGGCGATTTTTTTTTACTTTATATAAACCATCATTTTACAGACCATAGTTAACTATAGTTTCATCGCACAAATCTACAATGTGGTTCTTTAAGTTGATATAACTATTTTATTTATCATCCGACTTAAATAAAACTAACAATAAATGTTAAGAGAAGCTTACTACAATGCATTTGTAAAAGTTGCACTGAAATCGGAAAGGCCGTATTAGCCAAGTTAGAACAGACAAACAGATAAACAGACAATAATTTTAACTATAATTGTTTTGGGTTCTACTGCGTCGATAAAGGCCCCTACTAATGGTTTTTCTCATATATCTTCTATGTAAAAACAGCAATCAGTTAAATTTTTATTAAATGTATGATACATACATCGGGATAATATTTGGATGCCTACTTAGGAGTACAGCATTTTGGGCTTCACCTCAATCGAATTAATACAGGTTGCATGTGCTAACAAGCATAACAACAAAACTATTCACTTTATAGTAAGTAGGTATTTTGATAATGTCCCAAGGATTCATTAATATCAAGCGATAATATCTACAATATTAAAAATATTTATTCACTAGCATCCTATGGTAAACTAATTAAAAAGAAATAGGGTATAACCATCACTTTGGCAATTATATTTATCTACGTTATTATGTCCGACATATAGTAACAGTTTACTCAATAGAAAATGTACATAGAAATTCAGTTCTTATTACAAACACTGTGGAATTAATTTTACGAACACTGACGTCGAGCTGCGTATGCGCGCTCACAGGGATCAAGAAATGTTTAAAAAGTGCCTGAGAAAAAACCGTTACGCGGAGCCACAAATACTTTGGAAAAGTATAAAACAACGGTTAGAGTATATTGCTGAATTTAGAAATATGTTTAAGCGACACAATACGCTGTTCAAATATATGCTTTCCGGCCTTTAAAATAAAGGTTAAGGGCAAGTAATTTTAGACAGAAAGGTGGATCAACAAAGTACTCTTTAAATTTTGCTGGATCAAACAAGTTATGTAAAAGGACTATATATATACATATATAATCGGAATCTCAGAAACGGTTCCAGCGATTTCCATGAAATTTAGTATGTGTTTGGGGGCGAAAAATCGATCTTGCTAGGTTTCATTTTTAGAAAATGTCCTAATATCCCTGTTTTCAGGGAATGAAAAATACCATTCAAATATGACGGTAAACAGACGGCTGCGGTTCGTATCACGATCATTTACAAACTTATTTTTTTTTTAAATTTTTTCCTCCAGATCATTTTCTTTATTTTTTATTTTTTTATTTCTAAAATACATGATTTACCAAACAAAACGCCGAGCAAAGCTTGGTCCTCCGGGTACTTTAATACATTCGAGCAATCTGAGTTCGATCCCCGGTGCTGGCACCAATAATACTGTTAACTATAAATGTTGACTTATCATGTGCTCAGCGGAGTGGTGGATAAAGCCCTATGTATAGAGGAGGCCTTTGCCCAGCAGTGGGATATGTATAGGCTCACTTTTACTTTTGTAATAATTCAAATTCTCTTTTAAATTTAATTAGTCTGCTGATTAGGTCAACTTGTAATTTTTTTTAAATAAAATGTATTTTTAAGTACACTAAAAGTTACAACCAATGAACCTTAATTTTGCCTTAAGTCGAAAACATTTTAATACTATAATAAAACACTATATAAAGTCTAGAAAATTTATTACATTAATAAAACATTTTTGAAGGGTTACCATTTTGTGGAAATCACGAATTTTTCATTAAATTCAGTCACATAGAATATCCTTGCTGAGTTGGCATCTTTGACGCTGTCCTCTGTGTCCGTGCGTCGATCTCAAATATTATGATAAAAAGACCCTTCAATCTCGGCGAGATATTGCAATAACATTGTTGAAATAGGATACGCTTTGTTGGTATAATTTTCCGCGGAATATTTTTGCATATGGGGGCCTCTATACCCTCTATAGAGGTCGATGGTCTTTGCAAATGTAATGGAAATTATCTACACAGCGTGATATTGCTAACGATCCGTCTAATTTAATTAGTGGGTGGAAACAACTGCTTGTATCGTTCTAGCACAGTGTAGCAATGATAAAAGTGAAAATCAAAAGTTAAAGTAAATGAAGCTGAAATTAACAGATGTACTACATACAAGTATTTTGGGTAGAAACTTATTAAGTCTGTCCCGTTAGTCAAGGTGTGTGAAAGTTGTCAAACGGGATTAAATACAAAAATTAAACACGAAAAACCCCTAAAATACGGTTGTTTACCAATGATTCACGTCAACACAAGAAATTATTAATTTTTTGAAGTGAAAACTTGTTTAGGAAGGTATGGATAAGGAGTAAATTCATGTAAGTCGACATCGACATGGTCATGTGACGTGTTAATGATAACACTACATCTGTTTCTATTAGTATAACTTATTTTTTAGTGACGTGGAATATCATTTGGTTTTCTAATATTTGATCTCTGCAAAACAAATTTCTAGTTGATCGATAGTAACTTTGTCGCACATTTTAAAATTAAAATTCTACATTGGTTTAAATTGTCAAGAGTGAACCAGGTCTTTTTAAATTTAAATTAGTGTTTTGTGTTTTTATTATTCATACTATGTTTGCTATAAAAATTTAAATGTAAAACAGTTTATTTAAGTTTTAAGTTTTCTCTTCTGTCAGCAGTCCCCATAAATGCTTATTATTTTACGACATTTAAACTCTTTACAGGTTAACGCCCGGTTTCTGATACACTAATCATCGGAAAAGTTAACTAATCAGCTATTCAAATGTCATTTTAGTTGCCAAAAGGATGGTTAAACTCTTTGAATTGATCATTCTAATCATTAAGGAGATCATGCTGATCAATTCAGAGAGTTTAAACATCCTTTTAGCGACATAAAAAACATTTGAAAAGCCATTTGACAGCTGATTAGTTAACTTCTACGCTGATCAGTGTCATAGAAATCGGGCGTGAGACTATCAAGATTTAAAATTTGAATGGAAAATGACAGCCACCTAAAAATATTTTAAAAATACGGAAAATGTACTTTATCGAGCTTTGTTTATTTCTTTTATTCCGTCGGTATAATAAATACTTCGATCACTAGTAGCATTGCAAGATCGGTCAGTGGGAGCTAATGATTTTCTACAAATACGTTTGATAGTTAAATATACAATGTAATGTTACGTTGAATGATCAGAAGCACACATACGCACATTGTGGGAAGCTATTTATTTGTATTGGGTCAATGCACCCGCATGTTGCAGTAAAATATACAGCCCATACACGGTCCGTTTCGGGCGTTACAACGAAATGCGAAAATTAAGTGATTGTTACCTTCGTAAATAACATGTAATGTTGACATATGGGTATAGTTCATTAACCACAACAAAGAAATTGCTTGTAATTAATTGTACCAGCTATTGTGAGCTGTTTCAAAACTAGCCCATTGAATATAGGCACTTTTAAAACTAAAGATAGGTATTTGACATCGGGTCCATAATACTTACATCAAAATTCTATCTGCAGTAACCAAATCTTTCTGTTGGTAGAATATTGAAACCGGCGTTAGCAAAGTGAAAAATTTTAAAATGTTCCATGTCAGAGGCAGAGGGCATTGGCATTGTACTCCACTATCACGTTCTGTCTTGGGCTACGGGCTTCAACTTGAAACATGTCAACCCAATCGTCTTCAGGTCGAGGATAGTCACATTTCCTCTTCCAATGTGGTGTCCATTCTGGGGCTTGTAAGTAATGTAGTGAGTGAGTTCACTTTCGAAGGTGTGATCGATTCAAGGCCACTGTAGCTGCGCAAAGGCCAGCTGAACTGTGCAAAGCCCTGAAGGTGACATATTCAATCCCTCGTCACCGTGATGTAAATAATTCTTGTACACGCACTATAAGTTACGAGCCTTCTGACAGTGGTAAGGATCCTTTCTTCAGTGCGCATTTTCTAGGTCTTCCACTTGTTGATTTTGTAGACATCAAGGAACGCCTTATAATGTAGATTATCTAGATTAGCTTCCATATTGACGTACTTGTGGCTGAGCAGGCACAGAACATCAGCGTAGTCTAGGCCATCCAGATGCTGAGTTAACTTGCAGAGGACTAGCAAAGTAAGTCCTCTTCAATTACTGCACTGACTACAGTCACCTTTTTTGGTACAGCAATTAAGAGATCCTGGATCCAGTCTTCTGCGAGATTTTTTACTTAGATTTTGATCTATTAGTTAGCGATTCTAGTTTCTCGACAGCGGTGGCAGTATCAGCTGTTGTCATTTCCGCGGCTAGGTCGAGACCTGAAGCTTTTCCTCTCGTTAGGATAATTAAGTAATTTCGACTTCCTATCTGGTCGGTGGGGATGTCTCAATATCCAGAAGATTGGGCGTTCAGATTTTATGTCGAGTGTAGGCGGGGATAAAATTCGTATTCGGCCGACGTTTTCAAAATCAAAGTGCTCATGTAATTTTTTGAGACGGTTATAATCAATTTTCTCTTCTTGTCCCATCGGGGCTTATTCCTGTAGCCACGTTTTCCAGCCAAGGTGTTGGTTGCATCTTATAGCTACCTCAGGCTGCCACTGCTAGCAGCTAGTTGACTACGATCAGCTATATCTTCAGCACATTGTCTTGCCGGTCTTCGAAGTCTGAATGCACAGAATGGAAAGTTAAAAAACTCATCTACAGTCTTCTTACACACACAATAAGTGGGCAGGAGTGCTTGGATTTGTGGAAGATCCAAGCATTAAAAAGGCCAGGACTCTGCATCGTATATTTTGGTGGTAAGCTGGCAATGGTTTTAACAAAACTCGATATTTTTTTTTTGTATCGACTGTACATTTAGACTATTTAGTTTAAGAGACGGAATTGTTGTGTAACAATTTCCAAGGTTGGCAATTATATTTACCATAGCTGATTTTATGGGAGTGTATTAGGCAGCCGCCGGATGCATTAGGTTAATTTTTCACCGCGTAAACATATTGTGTGGGATTGCGCCCACGCGTTGCGTTACTCTGACAAGCAGAGTTCCGTTCGTTTTATTGACGCGGCTTTCCACGCTCCAATGATAATGTACAACGCACGATTCATTTCGGTCAATCGTGCGTTTGTTAGAATTACTGATGATACCAGAAGCACCGATGACACGCTGCGATGTATCGTTTTGAATTCATTATATTTTTATATAATTTCTTGGATAATAGGTACTATTGCCGTAACCGAAAAGCAACTTTATAAAATTAGACAGAAAAACACAGATTATTTGACTTCTTGAACGGAGACCTCCTTATGTTGTTTTAAAAAACGATTATTTATTTTCTTCGCGTTTGCTTTGTTTACGATTTTATTTATGTTGAGGTTCACCTGATGCTACCGCCGTGGTTACCGCCTTCGAGCTGTAAATCCGTTGCCAATCTTAAATCCATTTATTACACAAAGAGACAAACGCAAAATTATAACACTTCAACGTCATGCCGGTGTTCTGTGAGACCGTGGTAGTTCTCTGAATAAGCCTGCATATTTGTGCATCAGAAGCTATTGTGTGACGAAAAAAAAACCAGTTTAATTCTATTTGCATTGCGGGAGACAATGCAAATCGATTAAACTGTTTTTTTTTTTTTTTTTCATCATTTCTTATTGTTTATTGTATTTGTTACATCTTGTTACAAAATCTTAAAGGTAAAATATAACCAAATGGTGTAAAGAACTTAACTCTTTTCTTTTAGTTTAACTCTTTTCTTGCTGCACATCAACGATCTGCTCATGCCCGGTATATATGGGTACGCGGATGACAGCACAGTTGTGGAGAGATACAAACATTAGGGTCAGTAGAGTTCACATCCAGTCCGAAAGAGAGGCCATGGTAGAGCGTCTGAATCTTACACTACAGGCGGTCTCTGAATGGGGCGATGCCAATCTTGTGAGATTCAACGCCTCCAAAACGTCTTTTTTCCGCAAAAGACACATTCTGGAAAGTAGGAGCCCAGGTGAAGGGGCTCCTACTTTCCAGAATGTGTCCTTGGAGTATACCGACCGCCTTCAGTTGTTGGGAGTCGAAATATCCTCAAACCTCAACTATGGGCGGTTCATTGAGTCTAAAGCCAGGGAAGCTGCAAGGAAGTTAGGCATCCTTGCAAAGGTGCGACGGTACTTCTCGCCGGGACAGCTCCTTACTCTTTACAAAGCTCAAGTCCGGTCGTGTGTGGAGTACTGCTGCCATATCTGGGCTGGGGCTGCAAAATGCCACCTGGCTGCCCTTGACTCAATGGAGAGGCGTGCGGAAAGGCTCATTGGTGACCGTGATTTGGTTGAAACCAATCTCATCAGCCTCGAGCACAGGCGCACAGTAGCCAGCCTCTCGGTTTTCTACAGGAAGCATTTTGGAGAGTGTGCGTTGGAGCTGCACCATTTGATTCCTCCCGCACATTTCCATCATCGGACAACTAGACGTTCGGCGGGGCTTCACCCTTTTGCTGTCGACGTTCCACGCACAAGAACAAAGAGATTCGCATCGTCATTTATCATCCGTACGGCTAAGGAATGGAACAACCTGCCGGCGTCGGTCTTCCCTTTTACTGAGCTAGCGCGCTTACCATCCACGGCTGCATCACCACTTACCATCAGGTAGCATGGCAGTCAAGCGCTAGTCAGTTCCATATAAAAAAAAAAGAAACGTTTATTACGAACAACGAGAAATCGAATGAATTTCAAAGCCGCTCCTGTGCTTTTTACAAACAAGTCTCAATAGACAGAAATAATAATTAATAATAATCAAGGCAGCAGTGACAAATTGTTGCCGTTTTACTTTTCCCGCCCTACTTTTGATCACTTAATAAAAGCGAACTGAATGGACAGAATGACACGTGACGTAGTGATGGATGGCCATTGCACAGCTCGCCCATTCGCTCTTCTACATTCAAACTGACAATCCGGCACACCTATGTCCATGGACAACGTATTGTTCGTCAATCAAGCAATGCGCAAGCTAATGCGGTTTGTTGCGTTCAAACTTTTAGCTAGAAATTTACGAATACATTTAAAATGTAAGTCGTGTTGGTGGGTGGCGTTTCGAACGATGATCTAAAATCTACAGGGTACTTCCGGTTGACCCAGAATTGTCAATTTTGGTTAAAAACAAGGTCTTAGGGCACAAGTAAAAGTAAAACTCCGAAAATATTAAAGTTGAAAATTAAAGTAAATTTTGGTCCTTACAAGTTTTCGCGACCTTTTGAAATTTTTATACAGCTAATAGGGACTATAGACCCCAGTATCTGGTATAAATTTCAGCTTGCTAGGTCCACCCGTTCCTGAGAAAATCGGTGGTGATACGGTACTGAACCCTAAAAATGATCTAAAATGATGGCTTAAACTTTGAAAAGTAATTGATTTTACAAAATTTATAATAAAAGGAACGAATATGAAAGCGTCTGCAGTGAATGATCATCTCGTACGAGGCATTTACGGTGTATTACTCATTGTTAGGAAAGAGATCAAATATTTATAAATGTTTATAAATCCCTTCAATTCACAACAAAAGAGGGTTCATGTAGTATAGCAAACGTTCAAACGTATCGTAAACAATTTCCACAGTCTACAAAACGCACACGTGTATGATATAACGATAGTTCGGTTCCGCTTTGGATCGCATGTTTACGTAATAGTTTCTCGATGCGAGGTAGAATTGAATTGCCCGGTATCGGTAATGCGATGCACGAGAGCAATATGAAATAAATAGTTCTATTTTTCACGGCGCCACTTGAACTACGGGGATATCTTGCAATTGTGTGCAACATTTACTTAAATATTTCATACTAGCTGAGTCGGTAAACGTTGTTTTTCCATATAAATTATTTCTAGAGGAATCGGAATGCATGCATAAAGTGTTTGACAGGTTACTCAGACAGGTTGACAGGTACAGTTTGTATGGGAAAATAAAATTGTTGCTATTTCGGTTTTCCATGCAATTTTTCCATAATTTTTCATCGTTTAAACCTTCTCTGGACTGCCACAAATATTTCAAAACCAAAATTAGCCAAATCGGTCCAGCCATTCTCGAGTTTTAGCGAGACTAACGAACAGCAATCCATTTTTATATATAAGAAGATTATGTAAAGCGGAACAATTTTTGCCACAATGTTTTAAACGCCGGGCAGTATGGACAAGCGTCATCTTTATTAGAACACCATTGGTAGCACGTAGCTGCCCCAGTCAGATAATAGCTACCGATCGAGCCGAGGTCTGGCCCTCTCGGGCACCCTCGAATCGGAATGCTAAACTGCTGAGTGAGAGCCCAAGCCGAGGTCCCCTCTCGGGGACTCTTGAGCCTGATCACTCCATGGAGCGCCCGCCAAAGCGCCCTAAGAGCTTGGCGGCCTCCCAAACCGGTAATAATAATAGCGTGACGGCCTGAGCCGAGGCTCCCCCGGGAGCCCTCGAGCTTAGTCACCATAACGCGTAATAATAGTACGCCGAGGTTCAGACTAGGCGCCTCGTGCGCCAGGCTACCTCAAGTCCGTCGGAACTGTAAAGGCCCCTAAGGCCAACAGTGGCTCATCCAGCCCAAAAAAATAAAAGCACGTAGCTGTCTTAAGGCATTTCAATTTCTTCAACAGACTTCAAAAAGGACGAGGCTCTCAATTGGGCTGTATGTTGTTTTACTTTAGAATGTAGTTTATGAAATGATTTTAAAAATTTATTTTTGCATTAGTTTCGGTTTCTCTACCATATTAATTTCAATGGTTTGGATCCGGGACTCCGGAGTTACGGTCGGTTTTTTTTTGATACACAAATGTATTGATATTTTGAGTTAATACTTAGAAAGAAGTGTTCTCAAAAGAATATTAGACCGATTTTGTTTTAAATAGTTTTTCAAGTAAGTCGTTTTTTTATTATTTGGAATGTTTTTTTATAATTTGTTTTTTTTTGTATAATTTGCTTTTCTCGCCATAACACGTAAGCGTGTATGATCCTAACACCTGTTATATCAGTTCATATTAAGTAACTACACTTATTTTTTTTAAAAAGAATCAATATATTTTTTTATATGAAATATGTAAATTAATGTTTTATTTCTTTATTTTACTTTTAAAAATAGTCTTATAAGCATACCAAGTTTCATTTTTAATAAGAACGTTTTTCTCATTCATCTATAACGTATCTATTCAACAAAGATCCGCCGCTTCGTACTTACGATGCAATATTCTGGGGATCTCAAGCATATTTTAGCCTTCTTTTTCTGTTTATACGTTTTGGTTACGTGTTTCCTATTCCGGTCGAAATATAAAATCTTTTCCTTTTCTTGTTTGCACGTTTAACAATTCGGTATTTTTATGATAAGGGTCAGATTTTATGCCAGCAATACAGTTTTGTATTCGAAGTAGACACGTCAGTCTTTTAGTTCATCGACGCGTTCATTATCGTCATCATTACCTGTCAAGTCCACTGCCGAACATATTATGCATCAAATATCACTCCAAAACACAATTCTGAACCACCGGTATACATCGATATCGACTTTCCGTAACTTTGCAGGGTGTCTGTCACTTGGTTCATCATTAGAAGTATCATTAAGTTCCACATTTAGCAACTTTAATGTAGAGCATGAATTAGCACTAGTGGTTGCCCAGTGGTCGAAATTCGATACATAGGCTGATACTGATTAGCATTCTACACTCCTCTATATAAACTATAAGTGTGACAAATTTTATTCTTCTCCGTTCGCGCAATTTTCGTAAAAAGGGTTTCAAAGTTTTTGCTTCACGTAATAATATAGAGATATCATATGAAATAAGTACTTGCAACCGAAATCCCAGCCACGGCCTCAACATAAGAATTATTTAGTTGTGGCAATTTAAAGTTAAGTTTTAAATCTGTTTTTCCGTTTCCTTTATATCGTGAGACTAAGAGTTAATTGAAACAGGTGGTCATTGACGGAATGAGGCAATACGGATATTATTGTATAATACAGTCCTATTCATTTTTATATATTAAGATATTTGTTGTCTTAAATTTCAAATACAAATCTAAGGCGTAATATGAACTGTCTATAGAATTTTTTGTTCATCCAATTGATCGTTTATTGATACTACACAAGTGTAAGTTTTGATAAGTAATTTGTAAAAATTGTTAAGCAATGTTTGCTATACTTGAACCCACCTTTAAGCACATTCTTTGGTACATTGAAAACGGTATCACGATTTTTGAGGGTTTCCAAGAACACGTAGATATGCATCATCAGCACCAGCCTGGGGGAGGGGAGCCCGTGTTCTATTGCGACACCGATCGGATGATGTGACCGCTGCGGTGTTTAGTACGGCGTGTCGTAATCGGTTCACAAAGCGGATATTTTATTGTGAATTACACATGAAAGTACTATTGTGTACGTACTCCCCTGCCACAGTTCAGTTCGGGACCGCGTCGGCGCTGCGGTCCCCTGCCCAATCTGGCGGCGTCACGGAGTTTTGACACGTTATTAAATAACTGACGCCGCGTTAGAGGAAAAACATCGGCCGACTACAAACGTGTAGGTGAGTTAAATAAAGAATAAATTGTTAAACAGATGTACTATATAGAAACGTAGCCTCAGAGGACAACTCTGAAAAGTAAATCAAATAAGTCATAAATAAAAAAATAGTTTTCTAAACAGTAAACGTAACATATAACGAAAGAAAAATTTCGCAGTGTATTAGCACCATATTTGCAATAATTCTAGAATTATTTCATTAAATAATTAGAATTCAAACCATTATAAGAAATCTACATTTTGTCGCCTATGTACTATTGTGAATTTTTCTAAAAATTTTTAAGTGAGCAATCCAGCGAGCATTTAATCGCGATGTGATTTTTTTGTTGTTTGCACCTGTAAATATTCGACAGTTAAATTATCTTGTTTATTGAAACAGAAGATCACGCTGCGGAACGGTAATTCGTCCGATATCAGGGGCGTATCGGGTTGATTTCATCGTAAACGAAGTGAGAAGTACAAGCTGAAGCGTCGCCGACGTCAAACTGCGTTGTTGGAAAATAAACTCCACGCTTTGTCGAGGGCGTTCCGGGCGCGATTAAGTTGTTGACTTGTATTTAAATTCCCTCTGGACGAGGGCGATAAGATCGTATTCAATTGCAACGGTGAAGAACGATCACGGCGACTGTTTTTGAGTAATTGGATGTCATTGTGTTATATATATCTAGTAATGATATTTTTTAATTTTTATCTGGGTTAACGGTTCATTTGATGTTGAGTGATTATCGTCGTTTTCATCTACAGTGTAGATGCGTTACCTTTGGAGCGTTTACCTGCTACCTAACTCACTAGAATAAATGGTAAAGTGTTAATCTCTAACTCTGCAAAAGTGTTAATCTTTACGGTATACAGTAAGGCCGTGATTTATTTTCAGACTGCCCTGCTCAATCGGGCAGCAGACTCTGCTCTATCACAAAGCATAAATGTATCAAAAATGTGCTATCCGATTTTTCTGACCACTATACTGTACTTTTGTAGCGGGTCAGTGTGGGATAGCGAATTTTCTCACATGACAATAGCGATGATGGTTCTGATTTTCTAAATACTTCATTGGCTCAGCGACCCTAAGAGAATCTTAGCCTCCGGCACAAAAAGACGCTCCTGCTCTCTATTGTGCGCTGTTTCTTATCAATTGCTGATTAGAGAGCGCTCGGTTCTTTCTGGACGTCATATTACCAACGATATCTGGAGCGATGAACATGACGCTTCCCTTTTAGTTGCCCCATATATGCTTGATGGTACAATCCTTCCCTATCCGCTCCAAGTGGCCGAGACAACGAAGTGTCACGGCATTCGTTTCGCCGATAATGTTGGGTTTGGACACAAGATGTCCAATTTCCGTATTTTTCGTTACTCTCCAATTGCCAACCATGATTTTAGTAATAATCTATAGTAATGCAAATTAAAGAACTTAATTAAAAGTGAAATTGGAATTGAAATATGTTGAAAAAGAACAGAACTAAGCGTTTCAATGTTGCTAGTGAGACAGAGAAATCGCTTCAAGTACATAACGTCACAATTCAATGATGTGCTATTAAATGACAGTCGTTTATAATATAGTTATCTTCGTTTTGCGGGTAAGGGATAAAAACACAATCCAACAACAATAAAACATTATAAATTTGTTAATATTCAACTGTTTAACTTACCTTTCTCGCATTTTTTATTAAATTTTAGTATTATTCGAAAACAATCACAATAAATCTTTACTTTGATTGGTGTTATCATTTCTATTCAAGATACGGAAGCTTATTCAGGCATATTCTGTGATCGCGAAATAGTATCGAATGTACACATCGTTTGATTAATTATACTGCTAACTATAGTTTCATCATCATTGCACGAGTTTTAAATTAAAGCTTTAGGTTTATTTATCAATGACGTTAATGCTGGGTACAACATTAACGCCCGGTTTCTGAAACACTGATCATCGTAGATGTCAACTAATCAGCTGTTAAATGAATTTCAAATTTCATTTTAGTTGCCAAAAGGATGTTGAAACTCTTCTGATCATAAAACCATCCTTTTGGTACCTAAATTGTAATTTGAAATCCATTTGACAGCTGATTAGTTGACATCTACGATGATCAGTGTTTCAGAAACCGGGCGTAAGTGTCACGTAGGTGTGTTTTACCTTATAGAATTTCGTGATCCTTACCAATCACGTTTAAGGATTAATATAGGTGTTTTAAAAATAAGGATGTATCATGGAAGACTAATGGTACGTAAATACAGATTTGGGTTGCAGTATGTTTGTAATTTTTTTTATAAAGATTCATTTCTGCCAATATATGGCCCATATTTCTTGATATTTGTTAAAATATTAATATTTTTTATTATGTGTTCATATGCTTGTTATCGATATCATATAACTACTTTTTTTTTAACATAGAAGAAATATTCGCTTTCTGAAGGATATTTAGGAAACAATACGAAGAAATAGTCTTAGCTTAACTTACTTTGTCGAATCGTTTGCCGGCAAATATTTGCTTCTAGCAATATTGGATTACCTTCCCAAACTGCGTTAGCTGCTGCAAAATATACACTATAAACGATTCTTTTGAAGCTCCGGAATTTGATTTTGTGTACGTTTAAAGAGTATTAAACTTGTGAATATTCCACATCACCTTTTCACGTTCACAAAAATTTGTTTACATTATTATATTTGCATTTCCATTTTATATTTATAACGTTCTATTTTCAAACAAACTCGTTTGTTAAAAATTAGGTCAGTCACTTCCGACTGCGGCCGTAATCGTATAATTTGGAAACTAAAGACTTTAATCATAGAAGTGGATTAGCGTCTGGCGAGCATACCAGCGCATTTCATCCAAGGTACGAGATATTTATTTTGAAATGAAAATAACAACGTAGCTCGTATGGATTCTTAATTTGATTCAGATTACAGTCTTAAACATTTATTGCGTAAAAGGAATTAAAAAATATAGCTGGTCTATCCAGTGTCATGTAGTGAAATTTGTGAGGCCGCTATAAATAACAGGACTGAATTTATATATCTCTGTCCTTTTAGCAGATGGAATACATAAATAATTACTATGACTATACGAACATAGCATTGAAGTTGCACTCTCAATTGAGTATTTTTATTATTTACTAGCTGACTTGGCAAACGTTGTTTTGCCATATAAATTATATCTAGAGGAATCGGAACACACGCATAAAGTGGTTGACACGTTACACAGACATAGTTGACAGATTGACAGGTACAGTTTGTATGGGAAAATAAAATGGTAGCTATTTCGATTTTCCATAATTTCTCATCGTTTAAACCTTCCCTGGCCTGCCACGAATATATCAAAACCAAAATTAGCCAAATCGGTCCAGCTGTTCTCGAGTTTTAGCGAGACTCACGAACAGCAATCCATTTTTATATATAAGAGATCATAAGATTGTCGATTTTATCTTTTTTTTTTTTTAAACATTGTCTTCACTTTACGATACCATTATGCTAGTTATCTTTTAAGGGCTTTTTACAAACATAAATTTCACGCGGACAAAAACCCAGATGCGAAAGATCTTGTGTGGAAATCAAACCCAGGTTCCCCTAAGCCTTTTGAACTGCGCCACGGAGTAATCACGGATTTATTTTTTTATTAAATTTTTTTATTAATTTTTCACCTGCTCAATGCCAATTTGTAAATTTTGAGATTAGACACGGCAAGTAGAACTATTTCAATATCTTATTTTATTGTACTATATTATATTCTGGAATTTTCATAGCCTAGCGGCGCAGAAATTACACGATGGGCTTTGCGTCGTATCTACCAAACAAATAGCTATAGGGCCTGCAAGTAATCATTCCGGCCCTTATTGTTTGAACGGCGACCTAGGCAGTGAATAACAAATTTACTGTAGAATAGATTTTAACACGGATTGATTAGTATGTACCTACCATCTTAACTTAACGTACGTTGCGATACTATCGCAGTGAAATTTTTCTACTTTTGCTTGCCAACGGCTAATTAAAATAATTATTTTTACCATTAGAGTATTGACGAGTTTGGAAGTAACTTAAAGGAAAGCTTCCCTACAGATTCTGTTGAATAACCTTATTTTTTTAGTTAATTTGTTTAGATACTCTGTCTACCTTACAAGGATAAATATGAGAATATCTATAAGAATTTCGAGGAGTGTACCATTCTCGCCAAAGTTCAACGAATTGTAACATAGTGCGGTACGGGAGACGTCTTGGGTCTCCGAATAATTTATTGTTTGCAAGACACAACTCTATATTTGTTTTGTTTTGTACCTTCTTATTTTTTCCGTCGAGTAGATTAGAGGAGCTTTCTGCCTTTTGTAGTTCTACGAGCTGTCACTTTTCACGCGTAAAAATCCTTTGTCGCTTGGATTTGGTTTAAACGAGGGACCGTTGTATGTGTTATTTATATTTTTTTGGCAATACATGCGTGTCTCAAAAATCTAAGTTGCTCACACCATTGGCTTAAGCCCTACGGAAAAGATTTGCTGTTGCACGAATGGGCAGCATCATCCGCGGAAGTACCACGCTCTTATAGAAGACCAGCTTGAAGTGGAAGTAGTAGTATAGTCCGTCTATCTGCCCGTCTGTCACAAGGCTATATCTCATGAACCGTGATAGGAATAGGATAACATTAGAAATTTTCACAGATGATGAATTTCTGTCGCCGCTATAGCAACAAATACTAAAGAAAAGAATAAAAAAATATTAAAGTGGGGCTCCCATACAACCGGCATGATTTTTTGCCGTTTTTATAGATATTAGATCAGAAAACTTCGAGCGCAATTCGTAGTTGGCCGGTTTTCTAATGGTTGGTAAAGCATCTGCAATACCTTCGGTATTGCTGGCTAGCCCACCGGTTCTGCGTCAGATGAACCTTTTATAATCTCGGGACTGAAAGCACAAACATCAGTTAATACGAGATTTGGTATTGTAAATGTCTATGGGCGGCGGTTATCCATTTCCAACTTAAAAAAAAAATATATTCATTAGATAAATTTTAACGGATTCATTTCCTGTTAATATCAATATAAAATTTATAATACATGAATGTTATATACAAGTTTAGCTTATATGCTTAAGCCAGCTAGGAATTAAACATTCGAAACTTTTATATAATTATGACTATTGATCATATTAGTACGTTGACCCCTACGGTGTAACATGCATTAAAGTAAATTGAAATTTGTACAAGCGACATAAGACAAACTTGTTGAACGTAGAATGCTCTAGTATATTTCGAACAAGGTCAGTTATAAATTGCCGCCAGCTAAAACATATTTCGCGTGGGTACAATGCGAGAAAATGTGCAGTCCGCAGGATGATGGCCCATTTAAGACAAAATGGTAATATTTCACAGGGGCACATTCAGGCCAAGGTGCGCAAATTGCTTCAAGTACTCCTAACTGCCACGATCTAGCGTCTGTTGTTTTATTTTCGAGTGCAGAGTCCTTCGTATTTATATCTTTTTACACCGTAGTTGGTCTCCAACTCGATTTATCGTTACAATTTCCTTTTGGACGAAACGAGTTTAATAAATAATTATGTACCTCAGACTAACATACAGACCTCGTAATAAGGATCAGTTCATTGCGGGATGTGGCCCATGTGATGACAATAGGAGTTGGAGATGATCAGTCTTGCGGACGGAGTCGATTAACTATTTAGTAATAAATGTTTGCAGTCTTATCGAGATATTCAAGGCCATTCTAATATCCGTTGTTTTCTGTCGCTCAACGGCACTAGAGACAACACAAGGCATGTTTTATTTATACATCCAATTTACACATATAAAAGCGCCTCGTTTTGATTTTCATGTGTTTTTGTTACAGTTGATACTTCAAACAGCGAGCTGGTCGTATCAAAGCCCCCTCTGAAATCGCCGGCCGGGCTCGCTCCCGGCAGCCTGGTGCCGAAACGTGAGTAATCATTGCTCCATTGTTTTTGGTTATGCCTGTACGAAACGGTAAGGCTGAACTCACACCATCAACCACGTGTTACGCGCGATTTTTTTTTCTTTATTTGCAATTGTAAACATATGCTTCTTCGTTCAAATTGGAACTATGTTAAATAACTTCATTTCAATACGGAATTAGGAGGAATCTTTATTGAAACATAATTTTATCCAACGAACTATAATTTAAATACTAGCCGTAAAAACTTAAAGGTTATGACAGCTAAAACGACTGAACTACAGATTAAACACTATAGTGTAAACTTGTTAAAAAAATGTGTACACGACATAAAACTAGAACGAATTTTAACAAGTTCATGGGATCTGGATATCCCACGTGTCTGCTTTCCCTAAAGCTTTTATAATCCACGGACTGAAAGCAAAAGCATCTGTTAACGTAAAGTATGAAAGAATTTTATCCATTACACGCGTATATTCAGAAAAAACAAATTAAGCAATAACAAATTAAAAAACATACTTATATCGTTTTTGTGGCAGTCTACGAGCACCCTTAGCCTCTGTTCCAGTCCATTTTTGTGTAACGTGAAACTCTGTACGGACCAGACGGTGTAGCATGGACACTGTTAGCCCCGAATGGTGTCGAAGTATAATTGAATTTAACACTAAATTGACCTAGCCCGTTTAATAGGGTCGCCCGATCAAGCGTTAACTGTTTTTAGACTCTCCTGATGGTAAAAGCTGGGATGTAGTTCATCTGAATAAGTATTATTATCTACTTTAATAACGTATTGTGTAATACGTCAAAGGAGTACCTACTCATATCTGTTATTCATAATAAAAAATAATATTTAAAGATTTGCTTGATAATTTCTTGTATTTACGCGATTACACATTATAAATGAAACTAATTTTTACGGATTTATCGCGTTTATTTTTAATTTTAATTCCCCACTTTTCGAACCCGTTACAACGTTCATGGTCACGGGACAGACGTTGGACGTCTGATTGTCATGGGCTATGTTAACCCGGGCTAGGTACTGTCAGTTTTTTAATTATTAATTTTATGTCCGATCTACGCAGAGGGAGCTAATTGTATCTTGTCTTGCAGTAGTGGTTCGTTTGGGCCTAGATTTAATTTTATTGATGACTAGTTGTGCCCGCGACTTCATCTGCGTGGAATTTTATGTAAAAAAAATCTAAAATAAAAGTAGCCTAAGTTACTCCTTATTATATCAGCTATCTGCCAGTGAAAGTCCCGTCCTAATCGGTCCAGCCGTTTCAGAGGTTAGCCGGAACAAACAGACAAAATTGTAAAAAATGGTATTTTGGTATATGTACCGTGTATACATCCATATGCCTTTAGTAATAAGCGGTTATTGTAATATTACAAACAGACACTCCAATTTTATTTATCTGTATAGATAGGATCCCAAAAAGAAAGAGAAAGAAAAAAAAAGATTTGCTTTTTATTTTTTCAATTAGACCAAATGGACTAATTGGTTAATGGTCTGCCCGTGATCTAAAAGTCGTCGGTTCAATTTAGTATTATGTTTAAAACTTTTTCGATAGAAACTAACTGTCCCGGCAAACGCTGTTCTGCTATGTTAATTATTTCTAGGGAATTTGTAGGGTAGAAAAAACTGTTTAGGGTGGACCACCCTTAACATTTAGGGGGATGAAAAATAGATGTTGTGCGATTCCCCACCCTGGCCGATATGCACACAAAATTTGCAATTGCAAATGCAACGAAAATCGGTCGAGCCGTTTCGGAGTAGTTCAATTACAAACACCGTGACACGAGAATTTTATATATTAGATATAATTTCTATTAATTTCGGAATTTAATAATGTTTTTCATATAAAACTTTCGTATGACAGTTTTAGTTTTGTGAATTAGTAAAGAAATAAAGGGACCAGATGAAAAGTGTAACATTACAAATGTTACATTTTCGTAACATTACATTTTGAACTCATCAGATTTAAATTTAAATTAAAAATGAAATATAATTTTATAATTTAATTTAAGCCTTTTATAATTTAAACCTCAATTATAAACAAAATACTATTGTTTTATTAATTCTTTGCGTATAGGTATAAAATTTAAACAACTAACCAAATAAAAAACGTAAAATATTAAACCTGTGCGTGACATGTCACTCATACAATGCTCTACGAGATCAAGTTAAAGGATAATAATAATTATATTGTGTCTGTAGGTCACTTGTATTAGCAAGTAAAATATGCCACTTAGCGTACAATGACCTCCTTTCTTTGTATCCTTCCTATAATTCGATATGATATGTAGCAGTTCCAGAAATATTTAAGTAATACCTACTTTGTGTATATTCGACATAATATTTGTATGAATTGGTAATACGATATAAAATACAAAATTAAAATAAAATTATAGTATTAAAAATAAAACTTAAAAATATCCTTTTTAAAATGGCTCATTATTACTCTTTTTCTAATAAGACAATTAACTTCTTTCTGGTTTTGTTTATCAGTGAGGTGTTACTCGCTGTTATTTTTAAATTCGGTCTGATTTAAAAAGATCGAGTTTCAACTTTGGATCCTTGTCTTACAATCTTGAATCCATCAAATCAAATACTATCTCTGTAAATATAGACGTATCATGTCTCTACACGTCATTTCTTTTTCTTTCTCGTACCATTATCACGATTAGAGTCGCCACAGTAAGACTGTGTATCAGGTTGTTAATTGTACTGGCTTGGATTTTTACGTCCGGCCGCCTGACTGACGTCAACATATATGTTACACTGCATATATAGCTGAAAATAAATTCTCGAACAATAAATTCGAATAATACATACATGAAATAAATAAATATTTTAGATAAAATTTTTACACAACGTTCTCTAGTCCCGAACTAAGCAACGCTTGTACTCTGGGTAACAGAAAACTGATAGACATACTTAAACATATTTTTCTTTTGTAAATAAATACACATTATACATATATAAACACCCAGACACATAAACATCCAGACACTAGAAAAACACTATGCTGATCACACAATATTTTTCCAGTAGTGGGGATCTAACCCACACCCTCTGGCGCAGATGGCAGGTACACTACCGACTACGCCATTCGGGACGTCAAAAATGAAATGTTTTGAATGTTTTCTTCACCTGAAAATTTCATACACCTAACGCAATCACTGCGCTTTGAAATAGTACATACAAATCAGTATAGCAGCCATGAAACGTATAATATCCCTGTATTAATGTCTAAGTCCTAAAGGTGAAACATTTTAAAAAAGGTAGTGTTGGAAATTTTTAAACGGTTCAAAAGGACAGCTTCAAATTTTCGGTTGATAAAAACACGATCCGTCTGCTATACAATCGTCACGTAGCCGTCGCGTCTACCTTATAGCCGTGCGAGTCGGTGCCAAAAAAAGTTGCCACCGGCGCTATACGCGACCGCTTTGGCACAGTAGCCCGGATCTATGCGGCGATTATGTCATGTGTTACGATTCCGGCCATACGTTTATTTTTCCACGGCCCTCCCCCAAACAAATATCATCGGTTTTATTGTTATGAACAAAGCGATGCGGGTAATGCGCCTCCGGAATGACGCGATATTTCTGGAAGGTCACCCCTGCGCGTATAGTATTTTCGTTCGTCCACGAAGCGCACGCATCAAAATGCATTTCGAAATTCATATTCGCTATTTACCTTTAGACTTTATTTGCTACAATCCGTCGCGTTCCTGTTTAATTTTATCCGCGTTAAATGAAAGTAATGCACTATCTCCATTACATGAAACGTAAAAGGTAATCTAACGTAATCGTGATAAACGTTCCGCATATAAAAGTCTTATGGTTTCAAAAGAGCGTTTCTCCCGTTTTAAACTCGTTCTTTCTATAAAAGAATCTTGACCTAAATGTGATTCGGGGATCATTGCTTTATTTTCGTATCAGCAACTCAACTCGAATAATAATTTGATGACAAAAAAAAAATCTAAAAAAAATCTCAGCCGTAATTTCGGAAAGTATTTCTCACTCCGTTGTAAGAACGGGTTATGTCATCGCTAATGATGAACTTTTAGATATTGGCAGACATTCTAGTCAGCGTTTTTTATCGCTTCCTTTTCAAAAAATAACTCTTCTGCAACAATAAAAGCACCAAATTATTTTCAAACAATGAGATTGTAACAAATTTATTAATGAAGCTTTACTGTCATTGTCTCAAATTCAAAGCATCTTTATGAAAAAAGGCGATAGTAAGATTATGGTCATTTTTATTTTAACTAAAATTTGGACATCTTGGGTACAGACGCTGTTTGCAAATTGTGTTATTCATTGAAAACCAAATCTTATACATTATAAAAAACTGCGAGTGTAAAGTTAGCTAAAGTATATAATTATGTGTTGAATATTTTCTTACAATATCCTTTAACTTTACTGAAAAGTTATGAATGAACAAGACTAGTTTAAACTAAGATAGTGTGTGTGATAGAATCTATGTTACTCCATTGGAAGTGGTCAATTTAGACGACCTGCAAGTCCAGTTATAAGAGGGCCAGCTGGACTATTTTTAACTACTCTTGTAGCGGACAACACGTAACACTATTGTATGTCTTTTTATTCCATATGATCGTTGTTAAAAAATATATGTTTAGTCTCCATAAAACATAATAGTTATACAAATATCACGGGTAAGGGCTGAATGACATTTTGTTTCTACACTTTAGTTCTTTTTGAAGTGAAATCTTTGAATTTAATTATAAATGAAACTATCAACACGTTGGGCAATTTTGGATAGGGAAAAATTCTTAGGTTAGAGTCACCGACATGCTAATGTCACGACTTTGGTGGAGTCAAAATTTTGTTATCATTTTTTTTTCGGATTTTATTGCCCGGTATGAATATCATGTAGTCTTCTAATATTTGATCTCTGTAAAACAAAGTTCTACTTTCTCAATATTATTTTTGTCACGAGTTTTAAATTTAAAATTCGATAAAATTCAACAAAATTATTGCTTATTGCTTTCAGTTATCAGAAATAAAATATGCATTTTGCAATTTAATTAAGTGTTTTGTATTTTTAATTAAAATTTTTATAATAGTTTAGACCTTAAAAAACAGTCAGCCTAGCTTTGATTTACCATTTATGTCGGTAGCCCCCATGACTGGTTATTTTTATTTTCTTTTCAATGAATTTCTAATGTTGTAACATTATAATAGACAGACTACACTGAACTGTAAAACCAAACATTCAACAATAGTGTTTTAACATGTAAGACATGACTTATCTTAGGAAAACGGAAATAAAAATAACGCATAAAACAATTTCATACCTTTACCCAAACAGTAAATATTGTTTAGCAATCATTGAATGTATTTAAAAATTGTTTAACTATTGTTCTGTGTTGTTAATTATTGGACTGCTGTCTGAATAGATAAAATTAGTTGAAGTTGTTAATTTCCTAAATAATGTTCGCCTTCGTTATAGGTTCTTGGGAAAGAACACTTATTAGGAAACCTGCACGATTGAATCTATACTCGTCGTAAGTGTTATTAGGTCTACAGTGATAAAATTGCGAAAGCCAAATGGACTGGCAACTGCTTATTTTCTCGTAGATTAGTTTTCTCAAATTAAACAGTTATTTTATTCTTACCTATTGATCACAATACGGACTTCTTAATTACCGTAGTATAAAAAAATCAGATATAATTTCGTTTGTTTTTTGATTGCATTACTTTTTAAATACCTTGCAGCATTTACGGTAACTTAAGAATACTATTTCCGTAAGCTAAATTTATTATTTATTATCATTATTCCAAAATTCAGGAGATTTGATTGCTTTTAAATGTGTAATTTTCACGTAATATAAATAAATCATTTGACCTATGTCTATTGTGTAAACTAAATGAGTTATTCACAATGACTACGCAAATATAAAGGATATTCATACAAAATATTATTCTAGCTATGATGTAAATGTTATCGTGTTAAACGAATTAAAATTTACGACACGCCTTGGTCAAATCCAAATAAGTTTAACGGCTATTGTTTTAAAGGTTCCTCTCCGTTATGCACCCCTAATTTGGAATAGCGGCGCGTGTGCAATATTAATTAGCGTTAGCCGATTTACGTAGCGTCGACTGATAATATAGATGCTTGTTAGTGTGAAACGGCCGGTCGCATGGACTCCCCTCGTGGTCGCTAGCGGGCCGACGCGCGCGCAGCACTCGCGTACACGTCTCCGCGTAAAAATAAAGTCCGCGCCGAGCGCTCGCGCACTTTAACCCATTTATAATTATTAGTAAATCGCAGTGCGGGCACACGACTGACGCTGTCGGCTGCCACTGGCGGAAAACGGGTTTTAATTCTTTAACATTGTGTTTGTGCTAGACGTGCTCACGCCGGCCCTTGCGTGGTACAACTAGTGAACGTCACGAATCCCTAACGCTAACGCTCACACGCACCGCATTATCGAATCCGCGACTCCTACGTAATAGATACCGGCATCGTGGAACGCTGTAATATACTGACTTAAGATTAAAAGCAAGTGTTGTTTGTGATTGTGATTATTTTATAACGGTGAAACCAGTGCAGTGAATTCAACAAAAATATGCCAGAAAAGCCTAAAAGACGTAAAAATAATAAAAACAAGCGTAAAAATAAAAACGTTAGGATTGATCCTAATACAAGTAGCGGTGGCACCAAAAGTGATGTCGACACCTGCTTTAATGAAATCAAAGATGATACCGAAAACAAAGGTAGCGTTGTTTCAACTTTTGAAGAAAATAAGTTAATAAATTTACCGGAAGCGACATCATCATATACGGAAATAAAAAGTGATGATAAGGGAAAAAACATTCAAATTGATAGTTTAAATAAAAAAGTTGTTAATTCCCCCGTTGAACATAAAAATATTTCTGAAGAAAACCAAGATAATTCTTTAGTATTAGAAGAGACCTATGTAGTAGAATCTCCAGATCAATATATAAGGAATGCCAAATTATCGAACGGAAAAAAGAGTAAAAGTGTTGATGACGATGAATCTCTAAGAATTGTTGAAATAACCGAAGAAAACTCCCCATTTCCAGAGAACAACAAACATTCGGTTTTAGTGTTAGATGTAGACTCAGATATAAAATGGGAGAATACATCAGAATTGGAAAGTAATTTACCTCAAATAGAGGAACCTCTTACAGGTACTGTCTTATCTCCTACAACCATACCTCTTAAAACAGCACATTGTGAACAAGCTAAATTGTTAAGCCCCGAAGAAGAATTGTCACTAAGACATTATTTACAGTCTTTGAACTTGGCTTCCAATCCTTCAACTTCTTTAGAAATTAAAACGGAAATAGAAAAGATCATAAATAGTGAAATAAAACATCGATTAAGAAAGAAGGGATTAGCAGAAGATGTTTTTGTGCAAAGGTTAGGCCCTCCGCGAATTTTAGACGTCATCGATGAAGAAGGTAGTGGAGAATCGTCATTTCAGTCCCGTCGTCACTCGTACTTAAGTGATAAAAAAAGTGACAATGATGAATTAGAAGACGACGTCTTTGAAAACCCGTGTAATATATCTACTTCAGGGAGCAATAACATTAAGTTAAAAAATACTCTAAAGGATAAGACCTCATTTCAACAAATACCACAACAATGCTTACTTGTTGGAGCAAAATTAAAAGAGCCCGACATTAGTGAAGCTCGGGGTAATTGGACAGTTCAAACAGTCGAAAAGATGACAGGGGCTGAATTTGTATACCTTACAGATTCCTCGAGTAGTACAAGTTCAATATACGATATCGGCGAAGACATCGAGAATGGAGAGGATACTGATGTATCAGTAAGAATGATTACCCCAACAATCGAAGTTACAGATACGGAAAATCTTCTTAAGAAAACTTTTGAAACGAAAGAAAATACTGACACTGATGAACATAAAACCCCCATAATCTCGGTTTCTATGCCAGAAGAATTTAACAGCAAATCAACAAGCAGTAACAAAATTGAAAAAAGTCATAAAATAATTAGTAATATTGAGCAAAGATTGCACGAAGTGGTAGTTGAATCTACTGATAATATTAAAACCAATTTAACAGTGAAGGATCTTGATAACACTGAAAAGAATAAAAATAATGATTCTGCAAATACGAGTACTGAAAAGAATACGGTAAATTCTTTAAATGATTATGATTTGGAAATGAAAGTATTAAAATGTGAATTAAATGATGCGATAAATAATTTAATTAAAGAAGTAAGTGATTCTGAAAGCATAAGTGAAAATTCAAAAGATACATTCACACGACAAGATTCTTCTAGTAGCATGTCTTCATCACAATGCACAGCAATCTACAATCCTAGTTCTTCTTTTAATGATGTACCAAATAGTACAAATGTCGACTTTTATCACAATAATAATGATTTCAAAGAATACTCAAAAGATTCTCTTACAAAAAGTCATGTTCAAGACGTTATTGAATGTGTCACTAAGAAAGTTGAAGAAAACTCAATTTATTTTGATAATTATGTGAAACAACCTCAAAAGCTGCGGGACATTTGCGTTAATAAAATTTCATCATTTCCTTATGGTTTAAAGATATTAGAAGAGCTTGCTAATGTTAGCTTGCGACTGCATAATTTAAATACTGTTGGATCTGAATTAGTGGAAAATATTTATAGCAGTACAAACAATAAAAAAGATGGAAATCATAAAGCGGACTTCATATCAAATCCAATGTCTTTTACTGTCGAAAAAAAATTGTCAGAGCATCAAGTTGATCTAAATTCTCCCCCACCCCGACCACCTCCTCCACCCCCTATACAACCTCGAAATTCGTCAATGAAAAAATCTCAAGAAAATCATCAGTTTTCTGATGTACCGGTAATTAAACCCCCGTACGTTTGCTTATCGCCGTCACAGAAAATGTTAATGGAAAAAACTAATACTGTGGTCAAAGAAAATAATTCAAATGTTAAGGATATAAATAGCAAAAATTTTGATAGTAGAAATGAGCAAAATCTTTATTGGACAGAAAATGCTTCTACAAAACCTTTTAAATCAAAAACTGGAAGCCGCTTAATGGCTTTAATTTGTGATCCCGCCTTAAGTAACAGTATCAGTTCGAAAATAAATAAATTTGAGGATAAGCAAAACATTCCTATTCAGAATACAATTGAGGAATCTGTGATATCTTCCATGAAGTATAATGATCAACAGTATCAACCGTTGAATAAAAATACTTTTAAACCAGTGCCACCTCCAAGGCCGAAAAAAAATTTATCCTCTTATTATGAAAGTGATGAAAATTCCGATTTTGTTGAAAACTCATTTAAATCTATGAAAAAGGAAAGAAAAATCTTCCACTTCTCCACGGGTAACTTGAGTAAGGAGATTGAAGATGATATTTCAACTATACAAAATATGCATAAAAATTACATGAACATAAAGGAACAGAACAGTAAAATAAATAGTCCTCGTCGGCCATCATTACCCAAAGACTTATGTGATCAACAGATGGAGTATATCCGACAGAAAGAAAAAGAAGTAGAAGCTGAAATTTGTCGCCTTGAGGCCGAAAAAAAATCAAAACCATTGATCAAAAAAGGACCTCGAGCCCCAATGATTGTGGAAAAAGAAACTAACAATGTATCAACGCAAAGCATAAATCACAAACTTTCTACAAAAGGAATGTTGTGGAATACACATCAGAAAGTGGAGAAGAACCCAATGTCGTCATTGTTTAGCAGTAGTCAAGAAGAAATACTAAGGGAAAAAATGTACTCTGAATACTTAAATGAAATAGCTGAACGAGAGCAAAGAAAACACCACAAGGTTATTAAAATTACAAACACACCAAAAACTTCCGATTTAAAATCTGTTTCAAAAAGCATGTCTGCTTTAGATGTACTGGATTCAAAAGTCAATAACAGAATAGAAGAAGAGTTCATATCTAAAGCCAGAGAAAGGTGGAACAAGCTTGGTATTATGGATCCGGAGAGCGAAGATGAAAGGTATAATAAAAATGTATATAGGGAACCAAAAATAATCCAACATAAAATTAAAGTCATTGATGATGGTGAAGAAAAAGACGTTCGTAAGTTACCGAGCCATTTGCAAGAATTTGTTACTTTCACTGCGAAAGATAATAAGCAGGAGTCAGGGAGCTCTGGTGAGTCTGATTGTGAAGAAAAACCTACGCATGTCGTGATTTTATGTGCAGTGATGTTATTAGTATTAGCGATTGGAAGATATGTTTTGCGATTATTAAGAAACGTTTAAGATAACTTTAACAATCATACATTTTAGCCAGTGTTAAGTTTTAATAAGTGTTGTTTGCTTATTGTGTAGCATAAGATTTCGTGTTAAGCATTGCATGAGTGTTCACTTAAATTTTTATTAACAATTTTCTCATCTGAGTAACAGCTTAAAATAGTAATAATTTATAGAAATAATTGTTAATACACGAAGATATAACCTAGAGAAGAAATGTACTAAGGTAAGCAATAGAAAGGAATATGTTTCGCTCAGTACTAGATTGTGATATAATTATAAATGCGATAAAAAACAATAAACTCATGATATATAGACATTCTGGTTATTTACATTTTTTCTTTTCATATTGTTACTGAACTAAAATAGTTGTAGCATTTATCGATTTAATAAAGTTTCCGTTTATATAACAGAATATTTTCATTTCTTGACAATATTCCAACTTCATTGTATTTCGTGTTGCCGTAGAAAAATTATTTATTGATCTTTACTTAAAAAAATCAAAGTGTATGTTAAAACTTTATGCAATATAAATATTGATGGAAGTAATAGACAGATGCTTGCAATAAACGTATGCTATCGTTATTCCGAACGCGTTAGATAACACAATAGACAATGTTATTATGTATGCGCGTAAATAAATTTAATACATGAAAATATTTTATCAAAGACTTAATAATACCAGTACTTTTAAAAAAAGAGTTTATTCGTTTGTAACTTTATGACACGGTCGCCTACATTTCACCCGAATCGTTGAATTCGCCTGGCTCCCGACTAAAGCAAGATCGTCGTCCGTGAAAATATTTGGATCGTCTATATCGGTAGCAAATGGCCTTTACTGACTCAAAGTCGCAAATGTACTCCTTCGAACATTTCATTCTTATGTACTTGTATATAATTCGTACTGTGTCACTTTTCGGTAAAAATTAATAAATCCCTTCAAAGTTCATCTAAGTAGATATTTGTAAATAGTAGTGATTTTTTTTTAACTTTAATAACTTTTATTCTTGTAACCATTTTAAAATAATTAATATTTACTTATTTCTAAATAAATGCTTAAAGTAGTATGTAACGGCAATGAAGGGTTAATATTTTGATTAATGAAAACATGACTTCAGTATAAGTAGTGTGTGTGCGAGTTATAAAAAAAATACGTATAACGGCTGAAATTGTATTCAGTATCTGAATTTAATTTAGAAATTACTAATTGGACGAAAATAGATTCAACCATCAACAATCGGCCACGGTGCGCAGGGGCCGGGCGCCGTCACAAATCCACTGCCAAAATGTAGGTGTAGTTATACTTGTTTATGACGTTACGTGCAGTCGTAAAGTTGGAAGTTGTTGCAACGTTGAAATTTTCGTTCTGGCTCATGTGCAAACCAGACTTCCCCTTACGTCAAACCTATTCATTTGTATAAAAAATGTGTTTGTGAGAAAAAATACCTTTTTTATATTGAACCAGAAATATTGGTATATTTTTACACATTTAATGAGCTAGGCTATAATAGAATAAATTTATTAATTAAAAAAGATAAGTTGTTAACAAATATATTACTATTTCATCATGTTATAAGGGGAACAAGAGCTCGATTAAATAGAATATGAATTGCATATATTTATTTCCACTGCAGGGATAGCTCTACACCATTTATTTCTCTTAAACAATAAAAGCTTCATAGATAACTGTCAGTGACCGGCTCAAACGTCCACAACGGTCCGTAACCAGTCAAGCATTTACAATATTTGCCGTTGTCTTCCTCATTATCATCCTGTTCGTTCTTTATTGATTTATAGAGTCGATGTGGTTTGTACTCCTTGAGTCTATTTATTTAATTTACCTTTTTTCTTTCCTACGTAAGTACAAACCTAAGAACCAAAAAGTAAGTCTTAAAGCCTGTACGTTCTCTACCAGTCAAACTATGGTGAGTTGGACTTATTTCTATGGATATAATAAAAAGACTGCCTTATTTTTATAAAATTTGAACATAATATTTAATAAATGATTGAATAGTAAAGAACGTGTATTGCTGTGATAAATTTACTTGATTTTATATTTAGTACTGAAGGTACCAGTATATATGATGTACCTCCTAATGTGGTGGGACCGAATCAATTGGGAAGTAAAATAATAATGAATTATAAAAAAGTTAAAACCCGTGTGTGAACGAAGTATCCTCCCGTAAAAGCGGTGGTAGTCTTTTGCTCCTGATTATATCTACAATATGGTTAAGGTTTGCATTAAATATTAAAATCATAGAATATCATTAACATGACCTTTGTGCGTTTATCGCCGTGAAAAAATTACTTACGCTCGTATGGATTTTATTCGAATATTTTCCCTGCGACTAATCGCTCAAGTCATCCACGAGATAATTTGAAACGTCACGTCAGGGGCCCTCCTCACAAAGAGCGAAACGTCAAAGAGCCCGCGGGCGCACCGGAAGTGATTTGACTGCGGAAGCGGAGTCATGGTAGGGGTCGTTTGAACTTGTTAGGCTTGCGTATCAGCAGTGCATTATGTCATGCGGCTCACACCGCACGACACTTCCTTTTGTGCCGTCAAAAGATTGCATACATGCCAGGTACAGGCTAAGCGGCTGTAACATGTTTTTATGTGTCTTTTTATGTATCTAGATAGGCGATGTCTTCTTGTTACGATTAAGCTTTTTTTATTATAAAATACTGGCACATGTTCAATGATTAATACGGTTGGTCACATTAAAATTCATGATAGATATCACTGCGTTAAACGCAAGGAATGATGGGATTTAATTACCATTACTTCTTGAGAATAATATATTTTATTTTCCATACATCTCATGCCAATTTTAGTTTTAATCTTGATTTTAAATGTGGGCTATCAAATAATAATGTTTATAATGTAATTAATAATATCAAATATTACATTATTTTTCTTCCAAAACTTGTGTTCTTTAAACCGATATTTAATTAAACTTCATTTGTGGCCAAAATACTTTATCACCTACTTGTTATCGTACGATAATGGTTATCAAATCTTGATGATTATTTAGATGTCATATTACTGAATCGGCCAATTAAAATGTTAGGCACCAAAATGTTATCTAACCAACACATGCCAATTATATATGCATAGTAAACGTTCATAATAATTAAAAAGCACGTTGTTTGTTGAAAGTAAGCTTCATATAAAATATAATCAATAAGAGGAATGCCTTAACTTATAACCAATTGTAGAGTCCGCTTCTGTCTTTTTATTCCTCGTGACAGATAAATGATAAACGTTATGTGGCCAAATGCTGTTTTACGGTTTTGTATAAGAGTTTACAGAAAAGTCTGGCATTGAGTTTTCAACTCAAAATTGCAAACCTCGTTGTAAGCCACCGGTATTCCAACCTTTATTCACAGCCCGAACGTCCTAGATCCTAGCGGCTAGGCGCCCTGTGATAAGTTAATCTTTAAATTAATACCATATTATGTCCAATCGCTTAAGCAGATCGATTCAGAAGATTAATAATTTTTTATGCTTCAGCGCCATCTAGTTGTGTAATGCAGAAGCTTTGTAATAAATGTAAATTATCACCGCAAGATGTCTATTGACTAGTGATCGTGCCGGATCATTAAAACTGTAGATCCGCGGATACGGATCCGGATACAGATAATTGGCGTCAAAATCCGCGGATACGGATCTTAACTTAATATCCGGGAAAATCTCAATATTAGTATATCCATCGTCCTTGATTTTGTGTCTGATTCAAAGGATGAATTAGTATTTCGCTTTTAAGAAACTGATAAACAAAATGTTTTAAGTTACATTTTTAGACCCACGGGTCAAAGGAATAAAAAAAAATTGCTTAAAACTTTGGAAAATGAAGTACATCTCACAAAAACTGCAATACCTAAGTACTAAGGACAAACCAATGATTTTTTGCCAGAGCCTAGAAGAGTCTATGGCTAACATGTTAGATAGTGAAGATAATGATGAGCAATCTGAAAACAAAATATTAGATACGAAAACTAATTAGCTCATACAGCATATGTGACAAAAAATATTTTTTTTATGAAAAAATATTTTTTTTTATGTGCGAAAGTGGCAAATGAGCTGGCGGTTCATCTGATGTTAAGTTATAACCGCCTGCTCATGGACCCGTAGGGTTGCAGATGCGTTGCTACCTCTTTATAAAGTGGGCCCCAGCTATCTCATCAGGCGAAACGCAGAAGTGCAACACTTCTACTTCACGTCGGTCTTTTGTGAGGACCTGCCCATTCGTGCGATAGCGAACACTGTTCGCCCTGCCACCGTAATCCGTTTATGAAGAGACCAAGATCCACTAAAGTATTAGCAGATTAACAGTAAAAAGTTTGGAGGTGTCAGTCATATTTTCAGTCATATCTTTTATCATATCAATAAAGCTGCCAAGTTACTCTTTTTTAAAATACAATTTACCGATCATCATTTCAATTGTCACTGTGTGTTTATAATCTAAAGTAGACATTTTGAGTGTCACAGTTTATTAATTTATTTAATTAGAATTATCATTTCTTTACGATTATAAGGTTAAAGATCCGTAAAATATCCGTCAAAAATGTAGCGGATACGGATACGGACACGGATCTTTTTTTTCCGACGGCATTTTCTGGGCAAAATCTTAATCTTTTGGCAAGATTGTAAATTGATTCTTAATCAATTTTATTAAAACATTTTCATATTTGACGTATATATAGAATTTTTTAAAAAAACAGTGTGTTTTTCCGTGGTTTTACGTTTTTTTTAAATAAACGTAAAATCACGAGAAACACTTTTCTTACTGCGTCGTCTCATAACAGATATCATTTTATATTTACACTGTATCCTATCCTAACAAATAAGATTTTTGTACATTATTTACTTTCTCAAGTAACATGTTTTTTCTATAAATATTAATGAGGATTTTCGAAACCTATTTGAATGTTAGAAATATTTAAATAATGGGTTGTAATTGAATGAAATTCACCATGTGATAAAATAATAAAGTTTATTGGGTGGAAATAAGTATTTCTTTTTCAATAAAAAATAATAATATTAATGTACATTATACCTTAGCACGCACATTTTTCTTAGATTTCTGCCATCCGTTTTTTCTGTCTTTTTTATTAAATAAGCAGAACAAATACACGCCTTTACATTTGGTTTCCATTTCTATTCATTGCCACTCCTTGTGCTACTTTAAAAGATAGTAATAATGAACATATATATGCAACATTACATATATTTACATTATATTTCATATTTAAATATTTTAGACTATCAATAATATTAGGAAATGAAAGTCAAATATATTATAAATCAAATATATATATGGACAACAACGACGACAGCGTATTTGACATTAATGGAAGAATTGTTTTAATTCAAACAAATTAATGCGACAACAAGTGCAACAAGAAAAATTATTCATTAAAGAAATCTTCTTTGCCTATTCTAGTTTTTGTGTAGTTTCTCTGCAAGGAACGTAATATATTTTTTTCGCAGCCATCTATGGTGCGTAAATCTTACTGATGGTGGTTTCTACGAGTACATACTACATGCATTGTCCTGCATCTGAAACCTTGACCCGTCGACGTTCGGTATTAGTCGTGTACACCTCTCGTATATGTAATCAAAGTTTTCATCATGATTTTTTTAGAAATATCTTTACAACAAAAAAAAAAACATTCCAATTTCCATACAGAATTTATTTTATGGAACTATGACCACTATTACATAGACAAATACTTTATGTGCCTTTAAGGTTTATGGTGCTACAAAACTTAGATTTTCCTCCAATAAAAGCGCACATAAAAAATTTACTACAATATGGGCCCACAGAATTTGATCAAAATTTGCATGTTATATCTGTCTTTCTTATTTTTACGTATTATCTTAGGAAGAAAAACAAAATTATGGCGAAGTCGTAACATAGTTAATCCTCAAAGTAGTAAGGTTTGGACAAAATGTATTTATTGCAAATAATGACTTATCCATGACATTATCATACATTCTTTATAATTAAAAACATATATATATATTATATATTATATAGAAAAAATATATGTATATATAAAAACATCAAGTTTATGCTAACTTAATGTATATATATATATATATATATATATGTATATATATATATATATATATATATATATATATATATATATATATATATATATATATATATATATATATATATATATATATATATATATATATATATACATTAAGTTAGCATAAACTTAATGTTTTTATATATACATATATTTTTTCTGTCTATTTATCTGTTTTTTTATCGTTAAAACATGTTTGAATAATTGAAATTGATGAAGAACTGTGGAAGTTAACCATTAAAACACCTTTGACAAAAAATTATAAACAGAGATCATAATTTTATTTGACTTACTAACTAGATATATCTGAACAAGCAGCTTAATAATAACTTGTGTTGAAATGTAGAAAAAGGTAAATTCATTTCTAACTTCATTACTGAAATATGAAATCAGAAAATGTAAGAGAAAGAAAATTTTTACAAATATATGCGTGAATATGAGAGACAGCGCCAAAACAAGAAGGGGTATAACAACATAATTGCTAGAAGCACACGCTTACCTTCCATTTTTCTTTGGCGGAAACGGGTCCGTGAATTATTACGCCTCCTTAACTAAACCTTAAGAGCATAATGAAGACTATGCTCTAGGCTCATTTCTGACGCCACTGATCCGGTATAATTAGCTATAAAACCCGCTGCTTCAAACCCGTCATTTTCATCATGCAATCTTACATTACATAGACAAGACGAAGGTCATGTCTAATGTCCATGTCACGCCTATACCGGTTGTTGTTGGGAGCACTGCGCTCGAAATTATTGACGAGTACGTATACCTATGACAGTTAGTCCACGTAGGTAAGGCCAACTTTGACGCAGAGGTCAATCGGCGAATCCTACTCGGGTGGGCAGCATTTGGGAAGCTTCGGCAAATCTTCTCGTCGAATGTACCTCAATGTTTGAAGACTATAGTCTTCAACCATTGTGTGGTGATGACATACGGAACTGAGACGTGGTCCTTCACTGCTGGCCGTATGAAGAAGCTCAAAGTAGTTTAGCTAACTACGGAGCGGGCTATGACCAGTATTTCTCAGTGTGATAGAGTTAGCAACGAAGACATCCGCAGTAGAACAAAGGTAATCAATTTAGCTCAGAGGGTTAGTAAGCTGAAGTGGCGATGAGCCGGCCATATAGCTCGTACAACCGATAACCGTTAGGGAAGAAATGTTCTCGAGTGGCAGTCTCGTACTGACGTCACAGTGTGCGACGACCCCCCACTAGATGGAGTGACGACCTGTGCATGCGTGTGTTCAGAAGTGGACTTAAATAGGCTGAAATGATGATGATGAACCTAATATGGTTGTGCTCAGTCGCTTTTATATCGTTTCAAAAATGTTGGGAGCATA